CCAGGCTGGTCTCGAACTCACAGAGATCTGCCTGCCCCAGCCTCCCGAGGACTGGGATTAAAGGCGTGCACCACCAATGCCCGGCAGTATGCATAATACTTTATCCATACATTTTAGATGTTTGTTTTCAGATCTGGTTGGTATTTTTTTTTTTTCATTAAACAAATGAATATTTATCTGAAAGGATGTTTTGTTGGGCTGAAGAAATAAATGGCCTCACTGTTTAAGAGTGCTTGCTGCCCTTGCAGAGGACCAATGTAGGGTAGCTCACAAGCTGCTTGTGCTTGCTGCCCTTGCAGAGGACCAATGTAGGGTAGCTCACAAGCTGCTTGTGCTTGCTGCCCTTGCAGAGGACCAATGTAGGGTAGCTCACAAGCTGCCTGGAACTCCAGCTCCAAGGGGTCCAACACTTTCCCACCTCTACAGGTATCATGCACATATGCTTATGAAAACATAAAATATCTTAAATATTTTTCTGTGTCAGTTCTCAAGTAGTAATCTCCCTGGTCCTTCCTAGGATCCCATCTAAGTCCTCACACGATGTGGCCATTTTTCTAGTTTACATTAATTTCAGAATTTCTCATTCTGGCTCTGGCTTTTGGAGCCTTTTTATGTTTCAAATACCGTAGGTTACTTGTTCTACTACAGCAGAAGGAAACAAACAAAAAACAGAGCCAGAATTATTAGCTGGGGGCCTTGGTACATGTCTATCTATAATCCAGTACTTGGAAGTTGGAGGCAGGAGTTTGATCAGGAGTTCAAATCATAGTTGGTTACATAGTGAGTTTGAGGCCAGCCTGGGCTACATGAGACTATCTCAGGAAACAGAGGAACCACTATCATTTCTCTGCTGAGAGTTCTTCTGATTGGACGTTTCTCCAAATTTATCTAAGTTGTACAACAAAGTGGCTGTGTGTGTGTGTAAGTAAAAGCATTAGGAATATTCCATTCAGCTATTTGAATAAGTTTGATAGTAATGGAATGAATCCTTTTAAATACCCTTGGCTGCTTTTTGTTACCATTTTCAAGTCTGAGATAAATCTGGATTTTTTTTTTTTTTTTTTTTCTCATTCCAGGGTGTACCCTGTGACTTGGTGACAGGTGAAGAGCGGCAAACAGTTGAGGCTGAGGGGAAACAAGCCACCCATGTCTCTTGTACTGTGGAGATGTGCAGTGTTACAACTCCTTGTACGTATATGCTGTTTGGAAAACTAGGATTTAGAGGTTTTCAGTGTAGGGCTTTATGATGAAAAAGTTAAAAATCCAGAAGAAAATAGTATACTAAATACTTTGTGCTTGCTTCTGAATGCTTGTCCTTTGTTTTGGATGGAATTTAATCCCAGCACTTAGGCAGACACAGATGGGTCTCTGAATTCCAGGACAGCCTGGTCTGCATAATGAGTTCCAGTCAGCCAGGGCTACATAGTGAAACCTTATCTTTAAAAAAAAAAAAAAAAAAGTCAAACATAGTCTGGTTGTATTATATATATTTGAGGTTTGTCCATTACATAATTAAAGAATATTGTATGATATTCTTTTAGACAAAGAGTCCTCGTTTTCTCTATTAAGGAATATTTAGGTTGTTTAAATTTTGCCGTGGGTCCAGAATGTGGTTGGGTGATAGAGCTCTTGCAAGTGCAAGGCCCTGGGTTCCATCCTGAGTGCTGAAAAAAGTCTGTATTATATATAGTGCATTAATGAACTTCTGGCTTCATTTTTAAGACACTAAAGTGTAAGCAAACAAAGAAAACAAATATATGTAATTTTTTTTCTTTTTTTGAGACAGGTTTTCTCTGTGTAACAGCCCTGGGTGACCTGGAATTGCTTTGTAGACGAGGCTGGCCTCAAACTCACAGAGATTCACCTACCTCTGCCTCCCAAGTGCTGGGAGTAAAGGCATGTGTTGCCACCACCACCACCACCAGGCATATGTAATATTTTAATCCCATCTGTCCTCAAACAGTGACTGTTAATTGAGCAGTGGTACAGATTTTCTCTGCTTTGTGCTAGTATTCAGATTTTGTTGTGTGCCCCAGCAGGGTATGCACTCTGGTGAATGTGAAGCACAGTGAGAGTCATAGGGTTTTTACTAACAACTTGCTTTTTTATTTAAAATCAACCCTCCAATGAAATAGTTTTGCATTTTTCTGTGTGTTATAAAAGTCATACATTATAACAATGCAAATAACACACACAAATCATAGGTTCTCTGCTTCCTGCTTTTTAGCCTGTTTGTATGTCTTGATGAGATGAGTAATTTTTAATCTAGTTTCAACATAAATTAGCTTTTTATGATGGTCTCAATGCCTCGATATTTTGGGGAGGAAATGAAAGTGTGATTTACAGAAACATTGAAGCATGGCTAGAAGTATTTGGGCACAAGGAAAGAAGCCTGTGCTGCTTTTGCTCTCCATGATGATGGGCTTAAAACCATCAAGCATAGCAGAGCCCATGGGGCCTCAGGAGTCCCTCCATCCATGGCACTTGCTGCTCTGGAGAACTGTCTCTCAGGGAAAGTTTCTTGAGTCACTGAAACGCTCTCTACTCCTCAATCCTGGAAGCAGAGGTGCCTGTTTTTTCCTTTGCCACTGTGTGGATATGGAGGTTTGTGTGTTTGGGTTTTTTTGTTTTGTTTTGTTTTGTTTTTTGAGACTATGTAACCTTGGCTGACTTGGAACTTGCTGTATGGACCTGGCTCCTCTTAACCTCATAGAAGTCTGCCTGTATTTGCCTCTCTACTGCTGGATGGAAGACATGTGCTACCATGTTGCGCTAAGATTTTGTGTGTGTGTGTGTGTGTGTGTGTGTGTGTGTGTGTGTGTGTGTGTGTGCCCTTAGAGTACAGAAGAGGGTGTCAGATCCAGGTCCCCTGGAAACAACCTCTGTTACCCATCTAGCTGTCTCCAGTCCAATGTGGTCATTCCTATTAGCCGGAGTTAGCAGGTGTGTCTGAGGTGGTAGAGAATGGGACAGATGGAGACAGTGGAGGAGAGTGGCAGAGTGGCTCAGAGTGTGGTGTTGAGAGCTGGGTGGCTTGAATTTGAATATTATCTCTAGACATACTATCTAACTTCTGTGGGCCTCCACTTACTTTCCTGTCAAATGGAGATAGCCTTGTAGGTTTCTTAGGAGGAGCAAACCACTTAGAACAAGCCTGCTAGAAAAAATGCAAGCAGTAAGCCAGGGTGATGACACTGGTGAGGGGGACTGGTGTTGGAATTTAAGTGGCTTTATTGCTCATGGCGACTCTTTTATTTTAAGATGAAGTGGCTGTGATCGATGAAATTCAGATGATTAGAGACTTGGGCAGAGGATGGGCCTGGACCAGAGCGCTGCTAGGTGAGTGTTCTTACTGCTTCAGCCACCTGCTGTCTCTCTTTTTGAGAAAAGTTAATCAGAAAATCATGGGTATATGCTTTTATATTATTTAAATATTATTCTAAGAATGAAAAAAATTCCTGGTTTTGTGAGTTATAAAATTAATGCAACCAAATAACTAAAGTAGAAATGCTAGAATCTCTGAGAATATAGCCCGATGGCTGAGCACTCTCCTAGCACTCTCCTCATGGGAGGCCCCTGAGTTTAGTCCTTAGCACCAAAATCAGTTGAAGTTTGAGGTTGAGGACGTAGTTCATTTGTGGAGTGCCTGCCATCAGGCCATGCATGAAGCCCTGGGTCTGATTCCCAGAATTACATAAACTGGGTATGATAGAACATTCCTGTTAGCCCAGCACTTGGGAGGAGGACCATCAGGAGTTGAGGGGATCATTGTGGACTACACAGAAAGTTCAGGGCCAGCCTGGGCTACCTTAAAGAAAAGGAAAGAAAGTTTGTCTTGCCATATTTACAGTCACTGTTAATGTTTTGATACTGTTCATATCAGTTTTTTTTTTTTTTTTAAAGACTTAGAACTTTGTGTTTGCTTCTTTCTGGTTCTGTTGTTTCATATTCTGTAGATGAATATATCTGGGTATTGTCCACTGAAAAGCAGTACTGAAACTTGTTTCATGGCACTGAACATTTTTCTTATCACCAGCAGTGCTGTAGCAGGATTATTGATAGATGTAGCTTTTTACTTTTGAGTTGTTTTTGTTTTATAGGATGGGGGTCCTAGAAGTGGAATTCTTTAGACCAGGCTGGCCTAGAACTCACAGAGAACTGCTGCCTCTGCCTGCTGAGTGCTGGGATTAAAGGTGTGGGCTACCACTGCCTAACTTGCCTGATTTTGTTGTTGTTCTGTTTTTTTTTTTTTTTTTGAAACAGAGTTTCCCTGTGTAGCCCTGGCTATCCTGGAACTTACTTTGTAGACCAGGTTAGCCTCAATTTCACAGAGATCTACCACCACGCCTGGTGTGTTTCCTGATTTTTTAAGTGAATTTTCTTCTTTTTTTTCAGACAGGGTCTCACTCTGTAGCCCAGGCTGACTTTGAACTTCAGGTCATCCTGCCCCAGCCTGTGAAATGTTAGGGTTATAGGCTAGTCCCACCACACTCGGCTTGGAATGAGTTTTGACCTAGCATGTTGTAGGACAGGTATTTTCATATTGAAAACAAACAGTGCACCCTGAGTTTGCCTGTTAGACGGTAGGTGAAAGTGGGTCTGCTCAGGCCTAAAGAACCCAGAGCTGTTTTGCTCGCTAGTTCCCATACCACCCCTTGAAGCACCTCAGCCTCCATGGTGTTCTGACTTGAAGAACACAGCCCTAGGACTAACACCCATCATTAAACATCAGAGTGCCAGCCTCCTGTTCTGGCTTGGCCTCTCCCTATAGTGCTGTTGGCCTTGTTTGGAGCAATCTAAAGCCTGTACATTTATAAAACTGCCCTCTGTCTTTGCCCATTCAAAGAAGGCTTGGGTCTGAGAGTCTGAAAACATTGGACAGAGTTAGAATGCCATTAGGAGTAAAACAGCAGTGTAAACCCCTGTGTGTGTTTACAGGACTCTGTGCTGAAGAAGTCCATTTGTGTGGAGAATCTGCTGCTATTGACCTGGTCACTGAGCTTCTGTACACAACTGGTGAGGAAGTAGAGGTAAGAGACTGTGGGAGGCTTTCTTAAGGGCCGTGCCACAGATCCTAGGGTACCTGTCTACTGGCTCCTTATAAGCTCGAGGCTCGAAGAATCAGAACTTACCTATGTATCGAGTACACAGTGAGCAAGTACCACAATGTATGTGAAGTTAGCATAAGAAGACTCTATTTTTATGCATTCTAAGGTATTTTTTAAAGAAGAATCAAAAACAGAGCATAGCAAAAAGGAAATCTGTTTTCTTATAGCTGACTGGCTCATAAATATGGTTAAATTCATATGAAGTTCTGGTGGAGAAGCCTTGACCCTCTGTGTCTTCTAAGAGTATGGGAGATTCTTTGTCTTCACAAAATAACTTACTTGTTTTGAGGATGAGGCTGTTTTGTTGTTTGTTTTTGCTTTTGAGATATGGTCTCACTGTATACCACAGGCTGGCCTTAAATTCATTGCAATCTCCTGCCTTAGCCTCCGATTGCTGGGTTTATAGGCATTTACTATCACATACAGATTTCAATATCATAAAAATCTTGGGAGGATTGAACCGTATGTATTTGTTTACTAACTTGTGGTGCTGGGAATCAGATTAAGGGCTTTATGAATACCCTGCTATGGAGCTTCATTCACACTCATGGATTTAAGTCTCTTTAAAGCTAAGTAAGTCAGACTATTGAATTTGAGACTCAGCCTAAGCATGTAGTGTTCTCAGTCCTCTGTATCACACATTGGGGCCTTTGTTGTTTATGTAATTGCCAGATCTAGTTTGTGTCCATTTTGCAGATATAGAGTAGGAAGAAATTGATTTCCTTTAAAAACTACCCAGAATTCAGAATTCTTAATAAGATAGTGAAGCTGAATCTGTTACTTTTCTCGTGGCTGTGACAAACAGACGAAGTAGTTGAAGGAAGGGAAGAGGGCTGTAATGTGAGTTCTAATAGGTCTTAATAAAACCCCAGAGTTACATAGGGGATAAAAGCTGAAAGATCAGAGAGATGAAGGAGCAAGTCACAGCCACACCTTACTTCTCCAACTTCCCAGGCAAAAAGAGTTCCCGTTTCTTCTGCCTACAGTCCTTTCTCTGCCAGCCATCTCACTTCCTGTTTCTCTGTTAGCTAGTGGCAAGCTCCACGCTCTGATCTTCAGACACGCTTTATTTGTACAGACAAGATCTCACCACAAAGGGCTTCTTTTGGCTCACAGTTTCAGGGTCAGAAGCAGAGAGCCGCTGACACAGGTGCTCAGCCAGCTTTCCTTTTTATTCTCTCTGAACCCCAGCCATGGGACAGTGTTACTCACATTTGAGGTGGGTCTTTAGGTAAACACTCTCATAAGGCACACCTAAAGATGTGATGAAGGAGTTTGTTTTGATTTTGTGTTTTTAAAGGGTTTCCATGGTGATTCTAAATCTAATCTATCTGACAGTGCTGATTAGCTTTTACAGAAATGTGGAAGTGCTTCCAGTTGACCTGTAACAATCTCATGCTGTCCTTTGAGGGAGGTAGAGTAGAACGCAGTGGGAGAAATCCTGGACTTTGCTACATTGGGCCCTGTCTGCAGCAAATCACAGAAGGCTGAAAAGATCTGATCTCATGTTTTATTGGACTGGTTTACTCAGTCATAAAATGGAAATATCAGTCCATAATGTTTCTGAAGCTGCCATACTTTCCTGAAAAAGTTCTTTAAGGAAATTGACACAATAACATTAATTTAGCAATGCCAAGGATTGAGGGTAGCACAGCATCCAAATGACTGATTAAATGTGCTTAACCAGCCTTTAGTTCAGTTGCCTGTCTTGCAAACTTTTCCTTGATCTGGTACCAACCTGAGTGTGTTACTTTTGCATGTATGTCTTTATTGCAGGTTCACAAATACGAAAGGCTTACCCCCATTTCCGTGCTGGATCATGCACTAGAGTCTTTAGATAATCTTCGGCCTGGGGACTGCATCGTCTGCTTTAGCAAGAATGATATTTATTCTGTGAGCCGACAGATTGAGATTCGGGGACTGGAATCTGCTGTTATATATGGCAGCCTCCCACCTGGTAATAATTGGCCTCCATTTAGACTGCTGTGAAATAGCTTACATTTGTCATTTAGGTTGAGATATGTTTAGAAAGCATAGTAAGGAAAAAAATGGAATTAACGTGAACTATTCCTTCTAGGGACCAAACTTGCTCAAGCAAGAAAGTTTAATGACCCCAGTGATCCGTGCAAAATCCTGGTAGCTACAGATGCAATTGGCATGGGACTTAATTTGTAAGTAATTGTTTCTGATGAACAATGGGATATCGATGGAATCGATAATATAGATTTGAGCTTTATATTGTTATACTTGTTCGGAAAATAAAAGAGAATGTCATAGGACTCTGAGTTTTGGAGTGCTCCCCTGCTAGGGCAAATCAGCTGTTCCCTTGCTTTATTTTTAGGTTTCTTAGTCATACAGAACCCAAGAGCCTCCAGTGTGAGGCACTCATTATCTCTATGTAGTGAACGTGGCCAGACTGTTACAACTCAGAAGAGTAAGAGTTCTTGGCAGCTCCTTGTACTGTATGTGCGTTTGGGACAGTCTTGCTAGGTTGCCCAGGCTTGTCCTGCCTTGAGTTTAGTATGTAGATCCCACTGACCTTGAGCTCTTAGCCACCACTCAGTTTGTCTTTTTAGTTTGTTTTGATTTTGTGTTTTTAAAGGGTTTTTGTCTGCATGTTATATACATGTACCACATGTGTGCAGTCCTGAAGGGGTCAGAACTTGTGGAAGTGGAGCTACAGCTCACCGTGAACTACCATGTAGGTCCTGGAAATAGAACCCAAGTCCTCTGCAAGAGCAGCAGGTGCTCCCTTCAGTTGGTATCACTACATTGCCCCGACCAGCCTCAAACTCCTGGGTTTCAGACAGTCTCTGCCTGAGCTCCTCAGGTCCTGGGACTTGAGGGGTGTGCCGCTGTTCTTAGCACAGTTAACCTGTGACATAGTATGAGAGCACTTTATTTGGTGGCATTTTCTTAGCTCAATAAGTGGGTATCATACAATTTGCCTTCTCAAAGGGTGATTTTAAGTAAATAATACACAGTCATTCAGACATCTTGCTTGAGAGGTAGCCATGGTAGTGCATGTCTGTACCCCTAGCAACTGATAGGCCTGAGCAGGAAGATCACAAATTCAAGAGGGCACATACTAGTTGTGAGCAATTGAGACCCTGGTTTTGTTTTGTTTTGTTTGTTTTGTTTTTTGTCTCTTGTTGTTGTTTTTGTTTCTTGGCTTTTCAAGACAGGGTTTTTGTGTACCAATCCTGGCTGTCCTGGAACTCGATTTGTAGACCAGGCTGGCTTCAATATCAGAGATCCTGCCTCTGCTTCCAGAGTGCTGGGATTAAACGTACCACCTCCGCCAGGCTGAGCCCTGCCTTAAAAAACAAAAGATGAAGAAAAAGAATTTGAAACAAACCTCTCTCTCTCTCTCCTTTAATTAGCCAGGCTGTCCTAGGAGTCATTGTGTAGCCCACTCTGCCCTCAACACACAATAATCTTTCTGTCTCAGCTTCCTGAGTGCAAGAATTATAGGTGTGTGTGCCACAGTACCTCAGCTTTTCTCATTAAGAAAAAAAAATAAAAAAAAAAAAAAAAAAAAAAGCCAGGTGTGGTGGCACATACCTTTAATTCCAACATTTGGAGGGTACAAGCAAGTGGATCTCTGTGAGTTCTAAGCCAGCCTGCTCTGCATAGTTCCTAGAAGCCAAGGACTATGTAGAGAGACAAAAAATAAATTAATTTGATGTGTATGGTTATTTGCCTAATGTATTTCTACAAAACACTTGTGTGCATGGTACAATTGGAGATTGTCATATCCCACAGGATTCAAGTTGCAGATGATTGTGAGCCACCATGTGGGTGCTGGGAGTAGAACTCTAGGGTCTTCTGGAGGAGCAACCATTACTCTTAACTGCTGAGCCATCTATCCAGCCCCATTTTGACTTAAAATGAGAGTTGGACTGAGCACACCTGTGATGACCCAAGTAACAGGGCTGTGTATAGTCTGTGGGGTCACTTTTATTTCTATTTCAGGAGCATAAGGAGAATTATTTTTTACTCCCTTATAAAGCCCAGCATCAATGAAAAGGGAGAGAAGGAACTAGAGCCAATCACCACCTCCCAAGCTCTGCAGATTGCCGGCAGAGCCGGCAGGTTCAGCTCACACTTCAAAGAGGGAGAGGTCACAACAATGTACCGAGAGGACTTGGCTTTACTGAAGGAGATTTTGAATAGAGCTGTGGATCCTATACAGGTAAGGCTTAACATGTCACTGCTCCTGCTGCATGTAGGACAGTTGCTCCTTCCCTAGTCTTTTGCCTCAAATTCGTGGAAACAGAAGGGCAGCTTGAGCTGGGGAAACCACTTCAAGAAAGCTCTCCTTGGGGCTAGAGGGATGGCTCAGGAGTTGAGAGTGCATACTGCTTTTGCAGAACACCTGAGATCGGTTCCCATGACCCATGCGTGGCAGCTCATAACTGCCTGTAACTCTAGCTTCGCTCGAGCACACACACACACACACACACACACACACACACACACACACCATCACCATCCCATCAACACAATTTAAAAGTAAATAAACTTTTCTCTGGTGTTTTAGAGAGGCATTGATACCTCTTAGACAGAGAATTGTGTACAAGTGAAAGATGCAGATTCAACAGGTTTAGATGGCCTGATTGTCCTTGCTTAGGTGTACATAGAGTCCTGTCATAAAGTGGAGAACTAACTGAAGCTTGACAGAAGAAAATTAGCACAGAGTTATATTGTTGCAAGTAAGTAAGGACTGAGTTCAGTATATGGTTATTGGATCATATTTTAAAGCAAGCTAACTTAATAATACAGGGGACTAACTGTATGTGAGGTCACGGGGATGGAGGCTGGTCACATGACTTCTGTTTTGGGTGTGATGGGCTCCTGGATGGCTCCTGTGAACCTTATTTCTGGACAGTATGACCTTTAGATTCCTTCTTCTCCCACCGTTCTTATCCTCATACTCAGCTGCGGGCATTGCTTAATACTGCAGTGCGTGTGGAACCAGCTGATCTCCAGTGCAGATGTTTTCTTATGCTCTGCCACCCATATTGAAGTGACTTGGGTTTCCTTGTCCATTTTTATTCAATAGAGAGAACTGAAGTTTGGAAAATGTTTCATCCTTGAAGGGCTTTTTGTTATTCTGTCAAATATATATTCTGGTACTCTGACTAAACATAGCAGAAGGCTGCCTAATCTGCCCTTTCCATTAAATAATCCTATCAGCTTTTCTAATTGCAGTAAATAGTTTACATGGTCATGTCTTTTTCTCTATATTACTGGAATTCTTGGCATGGGACTCATTTGGTAAGAACCTAACCTAATTTAGGGCATTGTTTGAGAAGAAGAAAATCCCATTCAAAAATGGAGGAGAAAACTCAGCTTATAGTTATCTTATTTCTACAGGCAGCCGGTCTTCACCCAACCGCTGAGCAGATTGAAATGTTTGCTTACCATCTCCCTGAGACAACGCTGTCCAATCTCATCGTAGGTGGAAGCTCTTTTAATTTTTTTTTTCTAAAATTGTTGACATGCCATGTCAGTATCGGCTCACTGCATGTGCAGGAGTGGATGGTTTGTCTTTGTGCAGATGCTATCCATGAAATTTATATTGCTGGTGAAAACTTCCAAAGTCTGGGAGTGCTGGGTGTGTAAGTGTACACTTATAAGCCCAGTGCTCAGGATATTGAGGCTGGAGGCCCTAGAGTTGGAAGCTGGGGGACGGGGGAGATTGAGCCTCTGTCTCAAAAAGAAATAGAGGTTGGTTCTGGGCAGTGGTGGCACATACCTTTAATCCCAGCAGTCGGGAGTCAGAAGCAGTTGGATCTCTACGAGTTTGAGGCCAGACTGGTCTACAAAGAGAGTTCCAGGACAGCCAGAGCTGTGACACAGAGAAACCCTGTCTTGAAAAACCAAAAGAAAAGAAAAGAAATGCAGGTTAGGAAGATGGGAGAAATGCCTTAGCTTTAGAGAGCAGTGAGGCACACCTCTCCTGAGGTCTGCTAGGGATTAAAGAGGTTATCGTTTGTGGACTGAATGCTTAATTCATACCCAGTGGGATATTCACATCCAGGCAGTCCAGTAATTTCGTATGTGTATTTTCCCTCAGGATATTTTTGTAGACTTTGCACAAGTTGATGGGCAGTATTTTGTCTGCAACATGGATGATTTTAAGTTCTCTGCAGAGTTGATCCAGCATATTCCACTAAGTCTACGGGTGAGGTATGTGTTCTGCACTGCCCCCATCAACAAGAAACAGCCTTTTGTCTGCTCATCACTGTTACAGGTATGTCTTTAGCTCTGTGCTGTTTAGAGTTGTTCCAGGTTAATCCATTTTTCCTCCAAACATTGCTTTGTCCACTAAAAGAAAGCACTTGGGAGAGTACCCTAAATATAGGAAACTCTGCAGAAATTTAAACGTAAAATGACTTGGTAATTTCTAAAGGATAACCTTGCTTTGTATTTGGGCCTGGATGGTAGCCCCTCTGAAAAAGCTGAAAAACAAAGGTAAATAAGTGCATGGAGGAACTAGAGTTTGGTGGTGGTAGTGGTATTCATTTCCTTAACTGGAAGGGCTGTGCCTCTTTCCTTCCTTCCTTTTTTTTTTTTTTTTTTTTTTTTTTTTTTTTTTTTGTTTTTGTTTTTTTGTTTTGTTTTTGACTTTTGGAGACAGAGTTTCTCTGGAGCCTGTCTTGGAACTCACTCTTTAGACCAGGCTAGCTTCAAATTCACAGAGATCTTCCTGCCTCTGCCTCCCGAGTGCTGAGATCAAAGGCATGCGCCACCACTGCGAAGCACCTCTTTCCTTCTTATCCATTTGCTCTGGGCTGTGGTATGACTTGTGAACCGCACAGGATTCTAGGAGAAAGGGCAGCAGCATTGAACATATGGACCCTTAAGTGCCTGCTGCCATCCTGAGTGCTTACCTCATGCTACTAAACCCAGGGTTCTTCTCTGGACTTCTTGCCATCTTCACCATAGGCCTTAGCATTCTGTTTACCAGCTCTATTTCAATCCAATTTATTTCTGAATTTACCTTTTACACAAATATTTGTTATGCCAAATTAGCTCATTATTGAAAGATTAAAACTGTCCGCCATCCCCAGTCTCAGGCCTCTAGAAGACTTGCTGTTACAGTTTATTTCACATGGTATCGACCTGTATGCATGTACCTGTAGGAATTCCAGTTCTGTTTTGTGGGTGTTTTCCCATAAATGTTATAATGAATTATTCTGTGGCTTGCTTTTTCCTTTGCCCTTAACAGTGTACCTTACAGGTCTCTGTTAGGCATTTTCCTGGAAGAATGTCATTGGTGGGAGAGCCAGGATAAGGGGGAGGTTGTGGGGCAGTCTTTAGCTACTGCATGCTCACGTGACTGGAGCTACTTCCTGTGGCCTTGATCCGGTTTACACCAGTCATCAGACAGTAATGCCAACAGATCAGGAGCCTCTGCCAGGAAGGAAGAACCCTGGAAGAGTGCAAGTCAGCATTGCTTAGGCCTTCTGTTGGAAGCTGTGAAATCTAGAGGCTTTTCCTAGTGTGGTACCTCATCCATACTGAGCTATTAGGAGTTCAGTCTACTGATGGCCTAGAGTGCAACTTAGGATGGTGGTTTTGAAAAATCAGTTCTCTTACCATGTGGATGCTGGTGACTGAACTCAGGCTACTAGGTTTGTCAGCAAGTGCCCTTACCCACGGAGTCAGTCTTGCTGGCCCATTTTAATTTTAAACATTTTAAGCTGAACATGGTGGCATACTCCCATAACCCCAGTGCCTAGGTGGAGACAAGAGAATCAAGAATTCAAAGCCTCTCTTGGCTAGATAGCAATATGAGGCCAGCCTGACCTGAAAAAGACCTTGTCCGAACTAAATAAACCCTTTAAAGTATTAAATGTTTTCTTAAAATGTAGGAAAGTATTAAGCAGGAAGGAAACCAGCTTGTCTTTTGAAACAGCCACAGTTAACAGTTTGCATCTCCTTTTCTTTCTAACTAGAATTAAGAGGATTCTAGTTATGTTACCAAACTGTGTTCTTTCCTCTCAGTTTGCCAGGCAGTACAGCAGGAATGAGCCCCTGACCTTTGCATGGTTACGCCGGTACATCAAGTGGCCATTGCTTCCACCTAAGAATATTAAAGACCTCATGGATCTTGAAGCTGTCCATGATGTCTTTGATCTCTACCTGTGGCTGAGGTACCAACCCTTTTCTTCTCTATGCTCTCAGTTTTCTAACTCACTTGTCAGTAAGTTTCTGCTCTTTCACCACCACTTGGTGGGTGCTCTCTATTATTGATTATGTGTAATGTTTGGCTGCATGTACACCTACAGGCCAGAAGAGGTCATCAGATCTCATTACAGGTGATTGTGAGCCACCATATGGTTGCTGAGAATTGAATTCAGGACCTTTGGAAGAGCAGGCAGTGCTCTTAACCGCTGAACCATCTTTCCAGTCCCATCTATTATGTTTTTCTATGAAGGTGCTTGAGTTTGGTTTATGCTCTTTCCTGAAAAGACTTCAAGAGTATGTATAATAGCCTAATGAGGATGTTGACTGGACCCTTGCTAATGAAAGAGTGGTATCCTTTGGGAACTGTTTAGAAGTAAAGAACCTCAGCTCCATCTAGACTTAAATTCTCGTTTAAAAAAAAATTATTGATGTGGGGCTAGATGGGAAATGCACATGCCAGGGTGCCTTTTGTTTGAGGCCAACTTTGTGGCATGGATTCTCTACTTCCATGTTTTTATGTGGCCCTGTGACTCTTAACTGAGGTCACCAGGTTTGGAGAGCTGCTCTCAGCAGCCCAGATCATGCATTAATACACAAGCCTGTTAACTTGTGTGTTAATGTTGAGAAGCTTTGCTCTAGAATGTGGGTAGATTGTTACAGTTGGCTCTAATGCTCTTTGTTCTTTTCCCAGCTACCGGTTCATAGATATGTTCCCAGACTCCAACCTTGTTCGAGGTCTTCAGAAAGAACTGGATGCCATTATCCAAGATGGTGTGCACAACATCACCAAACTGATTAAAATTTCTGAGTCACGCAAGCTTTTGAATCTGGAGAGTTTACCATTAGGCAACCAGTCACATTTGTCAGGAACCTTAAAGAGTGGAGCAAAAAGGACACGTGGCACCAAAAGTGCAGGGGGTAAAGCTGCAGAGCCACTCAGCCCCAGTGCCAAGGAACTGCCCCTTGCTTCCAGGCTGGTGCAGCAAGGACTCCTCACTGCAGACATGCTGAAGCAGCTCCAGAAAGAGTGGCTGACACAGCAGCCAGAGCTTGGCAGAGAAAAAGCAGGGACAAGAAGAAAGAAGAAGGACCCCAGCTCTGACTAGGTTTTTTAATTCTGCAAATAAAAATTGATTTTAAATCCTTCAGCACATGGCCTTCACTGCCTGTGATAGGATTGTGGCCATCTTGAACTTTTTTTTCCCCCACAGGAAAGTAAATTCCTAAGCTGTCTAAACTACTTATTTCAGTCTTTAAAATAGTATCTTCAGGGCTGTACCTAAGTGTTCATAATGACCTTTTGTAGAGTAGCTGCGAGACACTGCTGCTTCAGAAATCCTGCTCTCGAGACATCACATCAGTTTGGGGGATTGTTAGGCCTGTTATTGAGGATGTCGTGTCATGGATGGAATTCCACACATGCTGCTGTCTATTACGCTCACTACCAGAGAATGTTCTAGAAGCTGGAGGTACACACTAGCAAGATGGAGTACAGCTCAGCAGGGCAAGGACATTTGTGTCTCTAGTGTGCTGCTATAGCCGCAGTGTGTGGGCTAGCATGGAAACAGTCTGACTGTAGAATGAGTGCACACACACGTAGAGGTAAATGATGGGGAAAGTCAGCTCCAGGAAGGAAGGTGCTGTCAAATCTCCAGTGTTTAAAGGCCAGTCTGTTGCATAGCGGTCTCCATCTGCCCTGGCTAAGAATGTAGCTAGAAATTTAAAGGCATTACCTCAGTTCTTGGACAGACATGGTTCTGCCTTTTTCAGCACGCCGCCTATGAAGGAGTGGGCACTTGTGCTCAGAGCTGCTTAGGTGCCAGTTGGCTGTTTAGTCCCAGCCTGCGCACCACAAGTATTTCCTCAACAAGACTGAAGGTTTGGGTCATTCTGCCCGGGGAATAGAACTCTCAGGTCATTCTGAGAATTAAGCCAGTTTCCTGAGCATGTGTTGATGGAAGCTGACTCCAGAGCAGAGGCTCAGAGTGGAGGAACACCCAGATATGCTGTGGTACTCACACATCTCTGTTTTTCTTCAGGGTTCTGAGTCGGGGTGACATTTGCCTTCATGGCAGTTGTCCTCTCAGACCTCTGTCTTCATGGGAGTAAAGGCTGAGAAGTACTGTTCTTTCCTTGTAGGTAAAGAAGTGAAGTGCCACAGGTATCCTGTGTTCCACAGCTCTGGTTTCTAGAGTTAACTTTCCTCTGTGACTTAGAATAATTCTTGTCTATGTGGTCTCACAAAATTCCCATGAACTGAAGCAGACAGCGGTGCTTTTACAAAGGGCAAGTTAAATCTCCCAAAGCCTCTGGTGGGCTGTGGAGGGCAGGACTCTAAGGAAAAGCTGCTTGAATGCTTAGCTAAAGAAGGCTCTTGAACAGTTGAGTTTGCTCTTGCCCTAACCTTTTCCATGTACTTTAGCAGAAGAGACTGGAGATGTCATCAAGGAGCACCAACAGGGAAACTGATTGGAGTGGTGCGGGGCTCATTTCCTCAGAGAGCTTTAATTGTCACCAGGAGAGCAGCTTGGTTGTGTTACTGTTTGGCTGTCACCATTTTTGTGGACTTAGTTAATTCCCACGTGTGCATTTCACTTTAATCATGAGTGCGTCCTATCTAAACCATAGCTGTTTTCATTCTCCCCAGCAGTCCTCTAATGCGCTTTGAGGTACCTGGCTGAGAGCCCTTTTCGAAATTATTGTTCATTCCTATGTGCAGCAGCATGAGCTGTGGCCTGAGGCTCTGTCACTCCAGATCTGGGGGCTTAAAGAAAGGTGGTTATTAATTGTCTGGCTGCCATCAATAGCCAGTGATTTAGTACTTTGCATATTATATCTGTGGGTGAGTCCATATCTACAGGACGATACTACGTCTTTCAAAGATAACTTCCCATGAATTGAAGATAGACAGTACTGTCAGTACAAATGGTCAGTCTCATGCCCCAAACCATCATAATGCAGTCATTGTCTAGATCAGACAAATACATCCAGAGCAGCACTCAGGAGGCAGAGGCAGGTAGATTCTGAGTTGAGGCCAGCCTGGTCCACTACCAATTCTAGAGTGAAACTGTATCTCAAAAACAGAAGAAACATGCATAGTATATTTGTTGCATATGTGGATGGAGAGGCAAAGCTTGCTGAGACAAGCATATGTATCATGCTAAGAGTTTCCTCTTTGAAAGCTTTAGACTTTAGAAACCTGAGTTCTTGTTTTTGTTTATTTTTAATTTTTTGGATTTATTTTTTCATTTTTATTTATTGTAGAAACATTTTTTAAAAAAAGTTTTTATTTAATATGTATACAATATGTATACAACATTCTGCACACCAGAAGAGGGCACCAGATTCCATTACAGATGGTTGTGAGCCACCATGTGGTTGCTGGAAATTGAACTCAGGACCTCTGGAAGAGCAGTCGGTGCTCTTAACCTCTGAGCCATCTCTCCAGCCCAGAAGCACTCTTATTTACATATCCATATCCCCATTCCCTCACCCTCCCATGCTCCCCACAGACCCCCCAACCCACTTCCCAGGGATAGTGAGGCCCTCCATGGGGGATCATGAAAGTCCACATCATTTGGAGGACGGCCTAGGCCCTCCTTACTGTATTTGGACTGCAATAGTATCCCTCCATAGGGAATGGGCTCCCAAAGTCCATTTGTGCACTAGGGTTAAAGACTGGCTCCACTGTCAGAAGTCCCATAGACTGCCTTGGCCTTCCAGCTGGCACCCACATTCAGAGGGCTTGGTTAGGTCCAATGCTGGTTCCCCAGCTTTACGACCAGGGTCCCTGTGTTCTCATTAGGCCAAGTCAACTGTTCTGTGGGTTTCTCCAGAACCATCTTGGCTCCTTTGCTCACCCTCCTCCATCTCCACAATTGGATTCCAGGAGTATGGCTCAGTGTTTAGCTGTGGGTGCCTGTTTCTGGAGAAACCTGAGTTTTGTTTTGTTTCTTTTTCCTTTTTTTGGTTTTTGAGACAGAGCTTCTCTGTAGCTTTGGAGCCTGTCCTGGAACTCGCTCTCGTTCTGGAGACCAGGCTGGCCCTTGTACTCTCAGAGATCTGCCTGTCTCTGCCTCCCAAGTGCTGGGATTAAAGGTGTGCACGCCACTACTGGCTAGAAACCTGAGTTTATTTTTGTTTTTAAAGGATTTTATTCCGACATGTTGGGGTTGTTCCCTGGGAAGAGAACGGCCCCCAAGTTTCCAAAGCAGGCAGTTTTTTTTTTTTTTTTAAGATTTTTTTATTTATCATGTATACAGTTCATGTCAGAAGAGGGTACCAGATCACATTACAGATGGTTGTGAGCCACCATGTGGTTGCTGGGAATTGAACTCAGGACCTCTGGAAGAGCAGTCAGTGCTCTTAACCCCTGAGCCATCTCTCCAGCCCCGAAACCTGAGTTTTTATAAACATGGAATTACCACTGCTCTCTAAATATCTGTCCATGTAGGATTGAGCATTGAAGACATTTTTCTTTTTAATTCTTTGATAAAAATCAAATATTTTAAAACATCTTAATTTACATGTTATGTGTATTTGTGTGTGTGTACTACTGTGTGTATGCCTGTGGAAGCCTAGGGCATCAGATGCCTAGGGCTGGAGTTGCACATATGTGATTGTCAGTGTGGGTACTGGGGTCTGAACTCAGGCCATCTGGATAAAGAATAGTAAGTACTCTTAACCACTGAGCCATCTCCAGTCTGAAGACCAAATTTAAGAACTTGTTTCTAGCATATTTATCGTTTGTCCTTTAAGACTACTGTCTTAGAATCTGCCTGAAGAGGGGCTGGAGAGACGGCTCAGAGGTTAAGAGCACTGACTGCTCTTCCAGAGGTCCTGAGTTCAATTCCCAGCAACCACATGGTGGCTCACAACCATCTGTTATGAGATCTGGTGCCCTCTTCTGGTGTGCAGATATACATGGAAGCAGAATGTTGTATACATAATAAATAAATAAAATCTTTAAAAAAAAAATCTGCCTGAAGAGTGTGAGTATCACCTCTTTACTCTTTGCTGAGTGATCTGGCGGGAGTGAGTGGTACTTAATGGGGCTTAGAAAGGGTTTATAATCCAGTGAGTTATCATTTGAATGGTATACATTTATCTTGTTCTTAATCCACCTCTCCCTACCCCTCTCAACTTCACCCAGGATTCCCCTGTCACATCTCCCTCCCCACTAAATGTCCCCTTTTTATTTTTTAATCCCCTGAATTTAGTTAGTGCTCTTACGCATCTGGGTGTAGAACCTTCTACTAGAGTATGAAGAATCTACTCAGTGGTTATACTTCTGAAGAAAAGTGACTCTTCCTCCCCCAGCAGCCATCAGCTGCCAATAGCTAGAGCTAGGGGCCTTGGGAGCCTCTCCCACTCCATGCTGGAATTTAAAACTCGCTTGATCTTTGTAGAGGTCTTGTGCTAGTAGCCGCTGTGAGTTGATATGCAACAGACATGTCATGTCCCAGAGGACAGCATTACAAAGCACACCTCCCCGTCCTCCAATTCTTAAGATTCTTTTTGTCCTCGATCCACAGGGTTTGCTGAGCCTTTCAGGGAGGGAGGGAGGAGCCAGCAGTGACACCTTAAACGGCCATCTTATGCACCTTTAGATACATGCAGTGACATTGATGAGCCTTAGCAGGAAAATCAATAGTGTCTATAAGCAGATTGTGATGAGGCAGGGAATTGTTCTTTTGGGATCAAACCCAGGACCTTGGCCATATTAAGAAAGTACTCTACCATAGAGCTGTATCCCTAACACCCTTTTAATTTTTAAAATTATGTAAGTAACCAAAAAGAAAAAGAAAAAAAAAAAAAAAAGCCGGGCATTGGTGGAGCACCACTTTAATCCCAGCACTGGGGAGGCAGAGGCAGGCAGATGTCTAAGTTTAAGGCCAGTCTGGTCTACAAAGTGAATTCTAGGACAGTCAAGGCTACACAGAGAAACTGTCTCAAAAAACAGCAACAACAAAATAATGTGTAATGTTCACAAAAGTATCTTTAAACATTTAGCAATTACATTTATTTATTTTGCCTTTTAAATGAGTTGCCTTAACTCAGGGTGCTACAGAATTCATAGAACAGTAAAGATGAAACAGCAAAGATGAAACGGCAAGCTCTGGCAGGTTTCCAGAGCAGGTTTACTTTAAGTTTACAATTAAGGTAGGAATAGCTGAATGTAAACTGGAGACAATGTTTTGTTTTTTGAAAAAAGTTATTACAATGTACAACAACTCCAAGTGAACATTCTCACTATATGTGGCAGGAAACCTGGATGTTTAAAAAAATAACTGACAGCCAGGGGGTGGTGCTGCACGCCTTTAATCCACTCAGGAGGCAGAGGCAGGCAGATAGATCTCTGTGAGTTCGAGGCTAGCCTGGTCTACAGAGTGAGTTCCAGGAAAGCCAAGGCTACACAGAGAAACCCTGTCCAGAAAAAACAAAAAACAAAAAAACAGAAGAGAGTCACTTCATTTCAAGCACAAGGAACAGCATTTTGCCAGATTTCAATTCTGTATGTGGCCAGTGGGCCCTTCCCTGTGGCTTTGATTTTTAGCTCCTGGAGTTTTCTTCTGCTTTCCTGTTTGTTGTTTTTAATTTTATTTTGGTTTTGTTTTTAAATGTTTACTTATTTTATGTGTATGGATATTATGCTTGTATGTGTATGTATCATGTGCATGTCTGCTGCCCCTGGAGGCCAGAAGAGGGCGTTAGATCCCCTGGGACTAGAGTAACAGTTGTGAGCTGCCATGTGGGTGCTGGGAATTGAACCCAGGTCCTCTGGAAGAGCACAGGACTCTTCAACCTTGAGCTATCTCTCCATCCCTGTACACTTGGGTTTATGCCATGTCTAATCAGAAGTCTCATTTGCTTTTACAGGCTGGTTATCTTCTGCCTTGTGAATTGCATTTCCTGGAATGGTTTGTCATGTTTTGCAGATATTCGATTATGATTTGAAGAGGGTTGTGCATTAACTTCTTCCTAAGCATTCCTTCTCTTCTAGGTGAGTAACTGGTCTGGTAGCATTCTTTAGGAAGCTGCTGAACATTGGCTTCATATGTGGTTACTCCCATGAAGACACAGTAGTTGCTCGCTGTCTTGGTGGTGGAGTGTGGAAGTTTCTGCATTGGTTTCCTGTGTGCAGACATTTGCTCTCACACATTCTTGTGCAGCTAGCTAAATGTCAATTGTTCAGAATAATTTGTGCTATGAACAGTTTAATTTTGGACTTACATTGAAACATAGTGTAGACTTTCATGATGTTTTTTTTTAATAACAGGAACAATTTTATTTATTTATTTGTTTGCTTATTTGGATTTATTTATTATGTATACAGTGTTTTGCCTGCATGTGTGCCTGCAGGCCAGAAGAGGGCACCAGATCTCATTACAGATGGTTGTGAACCATCATGTGTTTGTTGGGAATTGAACTCAGGACCTTTGGAAGAACAACCAGTTCTCTTAACCTCTGAGCCATCTCTCCAGCCCTATTATTTATTTTTTGAGACAGGGGTCTCTATGTAGCCTAGCTAGTCTGGAACTGACTATGTAGACCAGTCTGCTCTCAACTCATAGATGTCCACCTGCTTTTTTGCCTGTTGAGTGCTGGGACTAAAGTCATGCTTTACCATGCTCAGCCAGTAGCAGAATTTTGACAACATTCCTGACTGCCTATAATTCTGTAAATAGAACTGGTACCTTCTCATGGTTTATATTTGTGTTTTACTGAATGGATGGAAAAGGCTACACACATTTTCTTTTCCTCATGGAATGAGGATGAAATGAAATGGGAATTTTAGGAGGGGTCCCCAGCCTTGAGAAGACCTTGAGAGGTCAGGTAATGATTTTGGTGTGCCCAGTGTAAGCTACACTCTTTTCCTGTGATTTGCCTCCATGGTCAGAGTGACCACCAGGGTGGTTGTGAAAGATATGGCCTTGGCCTTTCACCTTGAGGGAAGAGAAAGCCAGAGGGAGAACCCAGGGCCTGTGCACTTGCCACTGCTCTTTGGAGCCAGGGTTGTGATTCTAGTCAAGTCCCCAGATGTCCCTGTGCTCTGGTGCCAGACTGCCCGTGTTTGAAGTTCTGTTCCACCAAATACCAGTGAGGCTCTTCGGCCCTCCTCCTCCATCTGTAAAATGGAGAATGTGGTCATTCCTGTAGGAGTTAGTACTATAGAGCACCTTGTAAACTCCACGTGTGTCCTAAGTAGGACTGTTTATTGGCCTGTTCGGACCTCCTGTCAGGCTCAGTACCTAAAGGACAGCCAGAAGATGTTGCTTTGAGCTTAGGCGAGGCCAGGTGGATTAAAGCAGACCTCTGTGGAAATGGCCATGTACATAGAGAACCTCACTTCCTGTGCTGGGTCAAATGGATGATGTGTATTAACTATTGTAAGAGCGACAACACTCCCATGTCCTTAAGCAAAGTCCACAGCTTGACATTTTAGACTAGTTACATAGAGCTTTAACAAGGGTGAAATACACCAAGGATTAGTCGGTGAGAAAACGGCAAGCCGACCCAGCTGTTTTATCTTGGTACTGTAAAATGAAGGGTCTGTCTTGATGACTCTAGAGGCAAATGATCTTTAGCAGTCATTAGATTCTTGGGTTACTCAGCTAGCTCACACCTGGAAGGTAGATGCCGATGTGCTTAGGTGAGAGGCGCCATGTAACAGGGACAGCCTAGTGTCCTTGCCTTGGTAAGTTCCCACAGGCTGCCTGCCTGTCTACCTCACAGGCCTCTGAAGGGTGGCTTCCTTCTGCCCACTGCCCATCCTAATCTGGTATCCCAGCCTGGAGTGGGTGACCTCAGTTGGTTGCCACAGGCACTTACGAGCAGCCTGTCCAGGATGTTGTCCAAGACTATTTCTGAATTCCAGCAGTTGTACATTTTGGGGAGTGAGTGGAAACTGAAGGTTAACCTTTTGTTTGCTTATGCGATAAGCAAAGAAGCTAAAAGTCATGGTTTGGGGATAAACAGACAGAAAGGGTCGAGGTTTCTCCATCAGGGAGGGAGTTATGTCAGTCTGTGGAAAGTTTGTAATCATTTAATCAAGACTGGCCTAGGTCAGACTTCTGGTGGTTTCTGAAGAGGCATCTATCTGTAAGGTCCCTGCCCAAGCAGTGGTCAGCCATTGTTTTGATTGGTAAGGTCATGCAGTAGAAAAGCAGACAAAGCTAAGGCTATCAGGTGACCAGGGTGACACAGCTTATTCAGAGGTCACCTGGACAGTGGGAGATAAGACCTGGGGTGCCCACAAACATCTAGTCAGCTGTTAACTTTACAGCGCGTTTTCTTTTTGTGTTTCAAGACAGTGTTTCTCTGTGTAGCTTTGGAGCCTGTTCTGGGACTATCTCTGTAGACCAGGCTGGCCTCGAACTCACAGAGATCCACCTGCCTCTGCCTCCCGAGTGCTGGGATTAAAGGCGTGCGCCACCACCACTTGGCCACAGCACATTTTCTTAGTGTTTGGGAGAGTAGTCAGGGAATTGTTTTTCAAGAAACCCCTTTCTCTACTGGAAAGGGTCTATTGGAGTGTTGCCCTATGTTTAGTTTTTTTGGAGGGGGGCATTTGAGACAGGGTTTCTCTGTGGCTTTGGAGCCTGTCCTGGAACTAGCTCTTATAGACCAGGCTGGTCTCGAACTCACAGAGATCTGCCTGCCTCTGCCTCCCGAGTGCTGGGGTTAAAGGTATGCACCACCCCTGCCCCGCCCTGTGTTTAGTTTTGGGGCTAGCTAAAACTCAACTTAACAGAGTCTTAATTACCAGGTAAGTGTTTGGCAGAGGAAGAGAAGCTTGTGCCAGTCAGGAGCTGGGCTCTGGAATCAGTTTTGGTGCTGCTGAAGCATTTACAAGTGTGATTTCGAGTAAGTCCTTAGTTCAGGGCCACCTTTCTCATCTGTAAGATGGAACTAATGAAGCTCCCTGTGCCTGGCAGCTGGTCTTACTGAATTCACTAGCCAGGCAGTGACTGGAGGAGTGCAAAGGTTTTTGTTCCTGCATGTCAGATCCTTCTGACATCGTGTATGATGGGGGTGGGGTGGGGGGTGGGCAATGGACCCAGGTGTCTCTCCGGAAGCACACCCATAACTTCAGTGTCTGTAACAGCACCTCCAGTGAGGCTTGCTGGCTTCCATTATCTCAACACCTCCCTGCCCAGCCCCAACTTACTCCCTGTGGAATAAAGGCTGTCTGATTTACCACTGTTGAGTACTGACTGTTTTTCATTAACCAAGCTAAAGGCTTATCTGCCACGGTAGAGAAATTGTCTCCGTAATTTTGGAATCTGCAGGACCAGGACACACTCAGTCCCAGTTAAGATGGAGCTTCAGAGGGACTGGGAGTTGGCAGTTATGTTGGCTTGCTGAGGAAAAGGAACCCTGGGACTGGGATTTACCTACAGATTAGCCCCACTGCTTAAAGTTGGCTTTGTTTTGCCCTCCAACTCCTCACAAGATTTCCCTTGACTGAGTGGGCTCGAAGCATTGGTGTGAATGCATTGCTCGGCAACAAGATTTTGTGGTGCCCGGTTTCTCAGTCAACCCATCATTTCCCAGCTTTCCCCTCAGCTGGCCCGCAGCTCCCACCAGAGCCTCCTGTTAGACAATCATGTGTGGCAGAGGGAGGGACCAGAGACCGGTGAAGTTTAATCATTGAACCGAGCAGCTGGAAGTATTTAGTTCTAGCACCCAGCTCCCAGCCTGAACGAGAGGTGTGTGGCACTCCACAGAGGGTGAACAGCGACTGTACGGAAATCTCTGTCTGTCTCAGGAACAACCAAACTCGGGAAACATGTTTGCAGTACACTTGATGGCGTTTTACTTCACCAAGCTGAAGGAGGATCAGATCAAGAAGGTAAGGGCTCAGATGTCCGGTGGTCTACACTGACAGACTCAACTGATTCCCTCCCTACATCAAAAGGGATTAAGGCTCAGGGGGCGGTGTGGGGTATGGGGGTGGAGTAGGGTAGCTCTAGTACTTGGGTGCTTGCTTAGCTTGTGTGAAATCCTGGGTTCTAGCCCCAGCATGGAAAGAAAAAAGTATTTAAGAGACCTTATTAGAAAAAATACTGGGAGCCAATAGTATTGAAAGTCTCAGAGGAGAAGATGTAGTGATTCTCCCATATTTCTTACTGCCCCAAGTCCTGGCTTTCAGTCAAACCTCTTGACAATTATGGGATATGGAATTCTTTAGAAAGCTCAAAGAACTTTATGACCAGTGGAGGGGCGAGGCTACAATGGAGGTGAGTCATTTGTAAAGAATCAGAACTTTTTTTCTAGAGATTTATTAGTGTATTTTATGCACATGAGTGTTCTGTCTTCATAGAAGGTTATGAGCCACCATGTGGTTGCTGGAAATTGAACTCAAGACCTCTGGAAGAGCAGACAGTGCTCTTAACCTCTGAGCCAGCCAGAATCAGAACTTTCAAAAGTGCATCTGATTATTCATTTGATTGAAATCACATAAAATAAGGGCACCAAGAGGAATGTGATTTTATTTGATTATTTTGAGACAGGGTCTCATTATGTAGCCCACACTAGTCTCAGACTACTGCCTCAGCCTCCCAAGCACCTAGAATTACAAGGTCATGCCATTAGGCATGGCTAGGATGTAAATTTTAATAGATTTGTAATTTTTTTAGCATGTGCTATTGGCCAGTGGGGTCCTATTAATGGTGTGGACTTTTGGCTACTTTGCCACAGTACTAGTCTACAAAATCAGGTTGGGCTATAGTTGACTGATGAAATCAGGACTCTCTCTTGATGCCTAAAAGGAGCCCAGCCTGTTTCACTAAACACACTCACTAGCTGCTGACAACTGCAAGGAGGTGGCATCTCAACTGATAGAAAAAGCAGTCTTCCGGGAAGCTGGACTCCGCCAAGGTCACCCGGGCATTAAAAGTGAAGTGAGGATCAAACTGAGATTGGCAGATCCCTCTTGTAGCCTTCAAAATGCTTTTCGAAATGTAAGAGAGGGAGTGTGGTCCCTTGTAGCCTTCCTGTGCTGGTGAGCACACTCCCTGTAATGCATTTGGGGAGAGTCAGCAGTAAGCTGAAGAGTGGAAACTCTCCGCTTTAACAGTTGTTTTATTCTGTCATTTGCTGACTAGATTCAAAGAGCCCTCTGCTGACTGCTTGAGGAGTGTAAAGTCCTCTGCAGCCCTGCTTCAGAGCTCACTTTCTGTTTCTACCTGCTTGGTAGAGATGCCACCCTTAAAGGGAATCTTTGAAACCTTCAATTTGCAAAGTCACTTCATATCCTTGGCTCCTTATAGTGGCTGGCCTTTTGTTCTAGCCTGAGAAATAGTCTGGAGCACATTAGTCCACCAACCCAAGGACAGGCTCCATTGATATATACCAGATCCTTCTGGAAAAGTGCTAGCTTTTGTCATTTCCTGGGTTGCATTCCTTCCCTCATTATGGAAAGTAAGAGAGTCAGGAATCCCAGGGAGCTAGCAGGTCCCTTGGCTTGTGGGTAGACTGGTTTGTAGTTGGTTTGAGTCACAGCTTGGAGGACATTCCTCCACAGGTCAAAAACAGCTTGTCACAAGGCAAAGTGTATCATCTGAGTGGTAATTCTCTCAGTGCTTCCTGCCTGACAGTTTGCACCCTTCCTGCTTGGAGTTGTCAAGGTTCTGGGACGTGCTCGCCTACAAAGATGACTCATCAGACCCTTGAACCATATTTGGAAATCTCAGAATGACATTAAGACAAAAAGAAGGCCACTGTCTGACATTGGTTTCCAGTTCAATATATTGACATATTTGACCTATTGATGATGCTGGGTTGGACCTGGTAACTGACCCATACATGGTTCATTCATAAGAACAGTGCAGATTGGGCTTTCTGTGTGTGTGGTGTGTGTGTGTGTGTGTGTGCATGTGTGTGCGCATGTGTGTGTGTGTGTGTGTGTGTGTGTGTGTGCGCGCGCGCGCGCACGAGTTTATAGTTTAGTAAGTCAACATTGCAAAAATGTGGAGATGTTCACTTGATTCTCACCTTTACTATCCCTCAAGTCCCCAGTCTCCCGTGTACTCTGTGGCAGCCTTGTGCTCTGCTCATGGTGTGTACTTTACAGTTAGGTCGGCATGCATTGTGCATCAGCTCTGATCGCCTCCTGTACACACTTCTCCATTAGCTTCATGGTCACCTTTCAGTGTCTTCCTCATAGTTCATTAAGTAGATGTGCCCTACAGCATTTCACTTTTCCCTCTTGTTGGTTATTTGGAAACTTCCAGAAACATCCAACAATTAAAATTTTACTATATTAGAACAAGAATATTCAGGTTCTCCTTTGAAATTGCTCCCTGATTTAACCCAACATACAAACCAAGTTCCCTCAATGGAAAAAAATAATCACTACAATCAACAGTGGCATATATTTATTATTATTTGGGGTAGATTTCTGAGAATAAAATTTCAGAAGGGAAACCAGTAGTTCAAAGTGTGGAACCTGCTTATGATTCAATTCGTGGTATGAGATCTTTGGACTGGGTGATCTTTCAGGCCCCTTCCTTCTGTAACGGAGTAGGCTTGAGCTTTGAGGCTTGTCATCTGCTCTCTCTAAAGCTGGTCTGGTCAGCTCTCCTTTTGGTTGGAAGTCTCAGAGGAAGTGGCCTGGGCTCCTGCCACTCATGTTCTTGTGCCTAGTACACGTGTGCCGTCTACACAGCCTCCAGATTACTTGTCTGGATTGAAGATGGTAATTTTTCTTTTGTGTCCCAATAATGTGTCTCCCTCCCTCCTTGCTACTGTTTTAGGAAGATACAAAGAATAAACAAGAACCTGTTAAGTTGACATTCTTTCTTCTGTGACTGACTCATGCTCTCTGAAAGAGCAGCAGTGACTTGAGGTGCTAATGACCGTTACATCCTACCCATGTGCCGCTCCCCATGTCTTACATGAGATGGCAGCTTATCCATGTGCCCCCCATGTCTTACGTGAGATGGTAGTCTATGGATATCTGGAGAAGTTCTTTATGCTAAGGTTGAGCAGTAGGTTCAGGGCTCGCTCTGGGGGTTTTGGCAGGACCAAGTTGAGTTCCCACATAGAGCATTCCATTCGTCCTCTGCCCCAATTACCCCCTTTCTACCCAGTTTTCCCCATTTGTGCAAGTTTGTGCCAACCAATTAGTCATCAACAGCCAAGCTGGAAGCCCTAACAAAGCACGGCCCGGTTACATCCTATCTTCTCAAATATGCTAAAAGCTCCGTTGTCCTTTTTTTGTTGTTGTTGGGGGCCTCTGATAGTTTTCTGGCCTCTCTCTACCTCCCCCTAGACCCCAGAGTCATGGGGCCATTTCACCATCCTGGGCCTCTTGTTTGGGTCATTCTGTCCTCTGAGACCTAGCTAAAGAGGACTAACATTTGTGCCCAGAACAGAGGTGATGTAAGGGCTGCACTTTTTGGTACAGCTCATCTGTGGGGCTTGTGGGTGTACCTATGGAGGTCAGTAGTCCAGTTCTGTTATGCTATCAGGACTCTAATCGAGGGACTGAAATTTGGCCTTATCTAGACCTCTTAAAGGGTCTTGGAGGGTTGATGGAGTGACATGCACAACACTTTGAAAGAAGAGATGGTATTCGATAAATGTAACAGGCTATTTCTTCCTGCCTATCTATAATCCATTCTCATGAGCCTGAGAATCCATACTGGCATCTGCAACTGACTAAGACACTTCACTGCCATTCCCAATGAGACATGTTACAATCAAGGTAACTGAATGTACTGTGATTTTTATAACTTCCTGCATTGGGGGCAGTGGTCCTCTGTCTCAATCCTGGCTACTTAAATGACATCTCATTCCTAATACCAAGTTGACATGACTTGTTTTTGTGTTTTGAGGCACTTGTAACCCAAGCTGACCTTGAAGTCCCTATATAACCAAGCTTGAGCTCCTAATGCTGCTCCTCTACCTCCTATGTGCTAGAATTACAGACATGTGCCACCATGCCAGGCTTTGATGTGGCTTTAAAAATTAGTGAGCCTCTGTCTCAAAAAGCAAAGCAAAACTCCATCTGCATTTCCTCGATTAAATAGAAATTTAGAGATTGCAGTTGTCAATCAAACCTAGTTCTAAGCTTTGTGTCAACTGATAAGCAAAGAGACACATTTGGATGTATCAGCTGGGTGCAAGAAAGCTTCCATGGTAAGCCAACCATGGTGACACATACCTGCAATCCCACTTAGGAGGCAGAGTCAGGAGGATCACTAGTTTGGGGCCAGCATGGGCAACTTAGCAAGTTCTAGGCTACCCTGATCTACATGGCTGCACAGTGAAACTGTCTCAGAACAAACAAACCAACAACAACAAAAAAAATATGGGAACCTGAGATTTGAGGTGTAGCTAATCTTCCCATCAGAAAGACAGTGGTACATGGTGAAAGCCTGGAATTGGGATTAGATGCTCTAGCTCCCCCGACACACACACACACACACTGTATGGGGAACCACTTCTTCCTCAGTTCCTTCAGAGGAGTCCCTCTGCTCTGTTTCAGCCTCTCCTTCCATTCTCCCACCTCCCTGCCTTGTCCCCAGCTGATGAAGTGCCGGTAAGGAACCACAGGAGCATGCATGACAAAGCTGTCCTGAGAGTCTGGAGTTCTCAGTAGAACTGGGAGTTTGTGTACAGCCTCAGCTGGGAGAGCAAGCACCCCCAGAGCCAACCCTGACCAACCCAGTGTCTGTTCTAGGTGGACAGGTTCCTGTATCACATGCGACTCTCAGATGAGACCCTCGTGGACATCATGGCCCGGTTCCAGGCCGAGATGGAGAAAGGCCTGGGGAAGGACACGAACCCCACAGCGTCAGTAAAGATGCTGCCCACGTTTGTCAGGGCCATTCCAGATGGCTCAGGTGAGTGGGGCTCGGGTCACCGGAACCCGTTCCCTCCCTTCCCATACCAGCTCCTAAACTGATGGATAATCCATCGCTTGCCCCTGCCTCTTTCCAACTTCCCCTCCTCTCTCTGCCTCAGTCCTGCTAACTGAATGCTTTGGGGGTCCTCAGACAGAGGCTCTTGGGTATCCCTCTGCCCACTGTGACCTCACTCATTCCAGCTGCCTTCCCTGCTGCAGAGTCCCTCATTCTTGCTCCCGTGAGTGCCACCTTAATTTTCCAGGTGCAGCCCCGAGATCAATCACTGCCTCTCATAGGAAGTGTCCCCACACTGCGATAGGGGCTTGTCAGAACCCATGTCACAGTTGTGGGTGACAGTCTCCAGAAGCCAGGGCTTCATTCCCACATTGTTCTGAGCACTTACCAAACACCTGCCCCTGGCACACATTGAAGGAATGGTATGCGGCCTTCTGTCCTCCGCCCCTAGATTCCAGGCTACAGACAGTAAGTAGTGAAAGGAAGTGTGTGGTGAAGTAATATGACGTGTCTATCCAAGAACCTAGGCCCTGGGCCCAGCTCTGTTACACCTTAGTGACTTCAGTCAGTGCTTAGCCTTGTTTGTTCATCTGTCAGATGAGAGAGTTGGCCCTGTTCACATGCTGGGCTGGGTATCAAACCCAGGGTCTTGGCCATGCTGGACAGGTCTTTATCACTGAGCCGAGTTCTCAGATCCTATGTATTGAGTCCATGTGGCTATTCTGTCCTTGGGGATGAACACAGGAACTCTGATGTAGTCTACACAGACCCAGATGACGGTCCCAGTACTCTCCACTAAGACCTGGTTCCATGTTTGCCTGAGCATAAGATCTGCCCACCTGTAGCAGCTCCTAAACACGGTCCCCAGAGACTCTGGTAATGTTCCCAGAGACTTTGTGGATTAACACAATACATATTCAGCCATATTTCACCAAGTCAGAAGTTTGGAATGGGTCCCACTGGGCTAAACACAAGTTATCAGCAGGGCTGTATTCCTCCTGGAGACTGGGGCAGTTAATGCAAAACTCTGTTTCCTTGCCTTTTATAGCTTCTAGAAGCACCCACATTCCTTGCTCTATACCCTATCTCCATCCTCAAAGCCACAGTGTGTCTTCAGATCTTTCTCTGACTCTGGCCCTCTGCCGTGTCTTCTGTACATAAAGGTCCTGTGATTACATCAGACCCACTGAGATAATCCAAGCTAATCTCTCAACGTAAAGGTCAGTTGATAACAATTCTGATTCTGCCTGCATCCTGCAACCTTAATTCCCCTTTGCATGTACCCTAACATAGGCCTATGCCAGGGAATAGGAGGTGGACTAGGCAGGGGATACACATTATCTTCCAACCACCATTGCCTAGTGCTCCCTGGAAGAATCCATGAGCGCCCCCCCCCCCCAGCTCTCCTGCTTTTTCTTGAGCACTCAGTGCCATTGTGGAACACTAGGGTCTCTCTGTCATAGGATCCTCTTATAACATCATGGGGTGACTGCTGTTGCTATATCTGACTGGGAAGCATGAGGCATCCCCAGTTTCAGGGTGTCAGTGCTCAGAGTCTTAGAACTGTGGAAGGAACAAAGACTGAGGCTTGGGACCTACTTAGAGGACCTTCAATTGGATTAACAGAATTCTGGGGACAATGCTTGGGTCAAAGTAGCTTGGCTTGCTAGGTAAGAGGCCCAAGAGACAGCAATGAGGGAGGCATTGCATCCTTTCTTATAGGTGGGTCCTTGTGGGCAGTGTACTACCTAGATCAGTGGTTCTTAACTTCCTAATGCTATGACCCTTCAATACAGTTCCTCGTGTTGTGGTGACCCCTAACCATAAAATTATTTTCGTTGCTACTTCATAACTGTAATTTTTCTACTGTTATGAATTATAATGTAAAATCTGTGTTTTCTGATGGTCTTAGGTGACCCTGTGAAAGGGTCATTTGACCCTCAAATGGTTGTGACCCACAGGTTGGGAACCACTGACCTAGAGTGACATGATTTGAAGAGTCACAACTCTACTTTGAAATCTGGGCCCTGCCTCTGACCCTAGAGGCAAGTGCTTCAGGGACTGTGGACAGGTCGTCCAGGGTCACCTGACACCTGAGTCATGGGGTGTGTGGGTGGTAAGGAGCACCAGGGCTAAGTCCTCCTAACCTGGACTGGGTGTGGCTCCAGAGCAAGGGAAAATGGCCATGGGTAGGCTGTTGGTGGTGGGGCTGCTTCAGAAAGTTTAAAAATGAGACTCTAATTCTACAGTTTTCTTCTTAAAATGAGACTCTAATTCTACAGTTTTCTTCTCTTCAATCTGGGAGATGTACACCTAGTATCACGGTCCTCTGATGAACGCTCATTAAATGATACAGTGCCTTGCCATTCTGTGTCACTTAGGTCCTGGGACATAGAGTCTCTAATAATCAGATGCCCTTGGTAAATGCTAGGACTACTGGTCTGTGGCCACATCAGTAGGGCATAGTTAGAGCATTGCATCTATTTGTAGGTTGTTGGTGGAAGAGCCAAGGGACTGTCTGCTTCCCCTGAAGACTAAGTCTTTAAGTTTGCTGAACTGAACAACAGACAGAGCCTCAGGAGAAAGCTTGTAGTTTCATCAATGTGTCCACATGCACAGGAGCCAGACACAACACAGAACTCAAAAGAGGGCCAACTGGTTGTGACTTAACTACCCTCCTTGGAGGGGAGAGGAAGGGAGGGTTTGAGGCAGTGTTGGGGTAGTAAATGATTTGGTTGGGCATGCATTGATCATGAAGGGCAGATATAAACATGGGATGGAGTATCTTTAGATGTGATGTTTGAGTTTCAGTCTCTAACACTGCAGTTTGAGTTTAGTCTTCCTTGGTTGATGACATGTCAGGAGGGAAGCAGTCAAGTGTGAGCCTCTTTGGCAGATCTAGGAGACAGGTAGATGAGGGCTACCCCAGGCAAAGTCCTTCCCATGCTTACTGCCCCCTCCAGGCTTTCAGTTTAATATACCAATCAGGGTGTTGTTTTGTGAGTGCTGCCACTGAGACCTGATGAGATCATATGAATGATGTACATGTGTTTGTGACAGGGTCTTTCACATAACCCTTTCTGGCCTAGAATCCTATGCTGACAGAGGTATGGACCACAGCACTTGTGTAGGTTGGGGTGTTTTTAAAAACCTCTCTAATGGCACTGGGGAGATGGCTCACTTGGTAAAGCACTTGATGCCAAAATGTGAATTTGGATCCCAAGAGCCCATGTAAAGCCTGATTCAGTTGTGTACATCTGCAATTTCAGCGCTCTTGGAGAAAGATGGGAAACTTACTGGAAGTGCCTGGGCCAACTAGCCTGTGTATACAGCAGCCAACAAGAAACCTTGCCTCAGAAAAGGTGCAAGGAGGGGACCAGCAGTGAGGTTGTCCTCTGACCCCTCACACATGCGCTGTGGCACGTGTGAGCATGCATGCGAGCGCTTGTGTGCGTGCGCTTGTGTGCGTGTGCGTGTGTGTGTGTGTGTGTGTGTGTGTGTGTGCGCGCGTGCGTGTACGTGTGCGTGTGTGTGCACTCGTGTGCGCGTGCACACACACACACACACTAAAAAAAATTCTTTACCTGTTGTTCCCAGTTCTCCGTAGTTTTGTGAGCTGGTTTTGTAATTTTGCAATTACTAACAACTAAACAAATAAACTTCTCCTAATCCTTGTAGCTTCTGTTTCAGAAATGTATTCTGTTTGCTGTAAATCTCCTGAGTCTGTCTACCTGTTCTCTGTAGTTCTCCTTGCTATCAACCTGCCTGAGGGGTGACCCATGAAGCCTCACTGGCCTCCCAGTCTCTTAGGAAGCTAACATGGATGGTTCTTTGTTAGGACCAAAAGCCCTGTGGTGGCTGCTTCCTCTCCAGCCACCCAGGTAGTGCAACAGACACACATATTTCAGGACAGTAAAGGTCTGATCCTTTGACCCTGTGAGGCAGGCTTTCCCCTTGACCTCTGCCTCCACTCTTTGTTGGGGTTTGGGGCGAGTCTTAAAGCCCTGATATGTTCAGTCAGACCAGGTTGGTGGTCCCTCAGGCTGCAGGACCCAGGTTTCATGCTTGCCAAGGCATAAGAGTCTAATGCACCAAGCAATTCCTAGACACAGTTCCCAAGCCATCCTCTGGGGAATATGGGTCTCCAGAAATCTATCTGTTTGGCCACTGGGTGCTCTTAGGGGATACTGTATGGAAAATGGGAAAGGAACTGAGGCAAGGCCCCGACAGTGACATTGGGAAGGGAACCCCATTTTTGAGGACCTCCCCATCTTGGGAGGCTATTTCCTTTTGTGCATGCTTGTGGTATATGGATGTGTGTGTGTGTGTGTGAGTACAGGTGTATGCGTGGGAGTGGGGAGGTCACAGATTGATATCAGCTGATACCCTCAATTGCTTCTCTACTTCTCTGTCACTGAACTTAGTGCTCACTGACTGGCTAGATTGGATGGCCACCAAATGCCAGGGATCCTCCAGCCTCTGCCTGCTCAGTGATAGGATTACAGACACGCACCATAGTGTCAGGTGCTGGGGATCAAACTCAGGTCTTTATGCTTGTGCAACAATTGTTTCACCAACTGAGCCCTCTCTGCAGCCCCACATAGGGAAGCTGTTTCCTTAATTGCTGTGAAAGGCCCCTTTTACCTTCCCCCACCTCCTACCCCACCCCCATTCTCCTGCTCTGCCTGGGCAGGGCCTCCCTCCACCAGGGTCAGAAAGTCATTACTCTGGGGTTAGAGTCACACCACGTGGAAGGGATCATACCACATGGTTTCCTTGAAACAACTTCTTGAGTCACTGGGGAGCAAGGTGTTTGCACAGCGATAAGGGTACGATGCAGGCCAGAGAGGACACTAGCCAGTTCTCAGCTTGCCACCTCCCATCTCTGCAGCAGGGCAAACCCCCCCGCTGGCTGGAGGCCTTTTTCCCAAATTTGGCCTTCCCTTCCTGTAAATTCTCTCTGTGGCTCCTTGTCACCTTTCGTGACTCACTCCCACTCTATACCCCCCACTCCTCTGTGGCTGGGACACATGCTCCTCCCTGCCTGGCTGCTGCTTCACACCCCACCTTGTCTTAGCACAGTGGGGAACTGGCTGCCAGCTCTCACCTCTTGCTCAGCAGCGCATTTGTCCTATCTATCGCTGTACTTCTGATAAGGTCCCCAGGGTGCTCACACCCTGTCGTCTTGGCCTCCCAGCACCTGGCACTGATAGGGAGTTAGGTGCTCTGGGAATGTTTGCATGACTTCCACACCAGTACAACACACCTCTTCCTGGGATGGATGTGATAAGTACATAGGATTTGGTAGCTGGACTCCTTGGTCCAGTAACAGACCTTAAGCCATTCACTGGGGCTCCCTTCAGTGCTAATCGAAGGAGATAATCTCTAGCTGTTTCCACTGAAACAAAAATCCAGCTGCTTGGGTCTATAAATGATTGACACCTGAGCTAGCTGGAGGCTTGTTTAGAAATGCAGAGTTGCAAGGCCTTCCAGTCACAGCTGCTTGCAAACTAGGTTCTCAGAGAGGTACATGTGTGACAGTTTGCACAGCACTTCTGGCCCAGCTAAGCCTCAGCCTTTAACCCTGGGATTGCCAGAACAGAGAAACCTCTGGAGCAAAGTCCGGACATGTTTATTGTGCAAGGACATGGGGACTGAGAAGGAGGCACACCGAATTTCATGGAAACCCTAAAGCAGGGCCTTTTGTGCCTTCAGCTTGGGGGCCTGGGCCTGTGAGCTTCTTCCCTGTCTTCATGTTTGCTGTCTGCTAGAGTTCTTCTGCATTAGCTCTCAGGGCTCACTAGGAGTGATTGTCCAGCTGATCCTTGAGATATTGCCATTATATGACCTCAAACACTGCTATTTGGGGTTGTGGGCGTGGGATTTCTCTTCGATGTACACACACAGCATATGAAACCACTCTGCAGGCATAGATAGTTCTTATAAACACTTTGATTATTACGAGGTGACCTTCCCATACATGTGGCTGGCACCAAAGACACTGGCAAAGGTCCTGTGTAGGCGTCATCATGGTGGGGTGCCCTTGCCTAAAACTTGTGTCATTCTGTATCTTCTTTTGAAGCATCCTTCTTGGGCCAGACTGGGTGCTGGACCATCTGATCCTGTGGAGAGATTGTGCCCCTCCATTAAGTATCTGTGGTACCCTGAGGTCTATCATCTGGTCCCCGCTGCCCTCCCCTCCTGGAGTATTTCCCTCTGAGGACTGAAGCTTGTGTAAGGCTAGCGTCTCTTCACTGCACCCCCTCTTCCTCATGCCTTCCTTTATCTGAGTTTCCCCTGCAGTTGGTGCCATGGCTTTCTTCCCAGATACAGCATGCTAGAATAGGCCCTGCTCTCAAGGCTCATTCTTCAGACCCCTTCACAAAGAGGGTCCACACGTGCCTTTTCCCAGTGAACTTACCCATTCCCTCCAGCATGACCAACTAGAGCAGGGTCAGGCTCACACCCCAGCTCTGCCCCTTACTGCACGGGGCAGACTGAAGACCATCCTCTCCACCCCTCAAGCAGGTGGAATGATGACACTAATCCATGGGGTTGTGAGGTTGGTCAGCCCTTGCTGTATGACCATCTTGTGTAACAGGAGAGATCTTTACTGAATGGTGACTGTTTGGGTTTCTCATAGAAAACGGGGAATTCCTTTCCCTGGATCTTGGAGGATCCAAGTTTCGGGTCTTGAAGGTACAGGTCTCTGAAGAGGGGAAGCAGAATGTCCAAATGGAGAGTCAGTTCTACCCAACGCCTAATGAAATCATCCGCGGGAATGGCACTGAGGTACCGGCAGGACGGACAGGCCTGGGTACTGGCCACCAGAGGTGGTGCCCTAAGCCCTGTGCTTGTGTTCTCTCCTGCAGCTCTTTGACTATGTAGCTGACTGCCTGGCAGATTTCATGAGAAGCAGAGATCTGACGCATAAGAAGTTGCCCCTGGGCTTTACCTTCTCCTTTCCCTGCAGACAAACTAAGCTGGAGGAGGTAAGACTGGAGGGTTGGGGCATGTGGACACGTGCAAGGGAGCAGCGTGAAATTCTGCTCTGTCTGTCTTTCCCTCTGCTTTTTGCTAATGTGTGTGAGAGAGCTGGGTGACACAGAGCCTTGATTCTGTGCTTAACTGTACACAGCATGAAGGGCAAAATGCTTTAGGTGGGTATCAGGAGGCCTTGCTGAACCGTGTAGTCAGCGGGTCTGCAGTGGGCCTTAAAGTGCACATCACGAGGGTGCCAGGAGATGTAGTGCTGCCTCAGAGTCACAGGGATCTGCCTGTCTCTGCCTCCTAGCTCCTGTTGGTGAAGCCAGGAGGTTGCCTGAGCCTAGGAAGGCAGAAGTTAGTGGCAGTGGCCACACGGTGGCAGTGCGGCACAGAAAACAATCTTGGGGCTGATCATGGGTTCTGAGGTCTGTCTGGAGACCCAGAGTTACTTCCTGTCTCTATTTCTTTGTCCATTACTGAGGGGGCTGGGAAAAGGGTGTCTAGAGTCTGTGAGCTTAGGCTTAGCTGCTCCGGACTAGGTGGATGGACTTGGGCAATTCTGTTCATCTCCAAATTCTCTTCTCATCTGAAAAACCCGAGGCTCCAGTACCGTGTGAATCAGGCTTCTGACTCCAGCAATTATGCTTCCTATGACTGAGATAAAAGGAGTAAAGAAAGGTGGCTCAATTATAAAATATTCCCCTGAGGCAACATTAAAAATCTCTCTGCAAGATAGGCAATCAACCCGAGTGTCTCTCAGCTGATGAGTAGATAAAGAAAGGCCACAATGGAATACTATCCAGCCATCAACCTGTCTTATCTCTCACTTGTGGGAATGTGGAGGGACATTAAACTCAGGGCACAGAAGGACAAATTACACTCAACTCACTTGTCTGAAATCTAGATAAGTCTCACCACAAAAAGCAGTAACTGTTTGTGGTGGTTATGCAGATTGCCCTGACTAGACTGTGTACTGAAGGTACCTTCTATACCCCATAAATCCGTGCAATTAGAAACAAAATGAAATCCAAAAGAATTGAGTGATTGAGCATAGAGAAGGGAACCCATGGGGACCCAGAGCACAGGCTGTCTGTCTGTCTGCTGCAGTCCAGCCTGAACACCCCCTTATATTAACCTGAAACATCCTCACAGGGTTTCCTGCTTTCATGGACCAAGAAGTTCAAGGCCCGGGGAGTTCAGGACACAGACGTGGTGGGCCGCCTTGCCAACGCCATGAAAAAGCACAAGGTGAGGGACTCACTTGTCCTTGACTCTTGGGCTTGGGGCTCTTGTACTGCATCGGCCTGGAAGGAGAACTGGGTGGGGGTGGGGCTGTTGCACTGTAGTGAGGATGAGCACAGTTAGACAGGCCTTCTGGAGAACCACAGAGGGACAGCCTTTTATTTCCTGGGTCCCCAGTCACCACACCCCTTCAGGAGGACTGCGCTGTGTCGCTGTGTTTAAGCTCCACCCTCTCTCCTCTCCGGGTTGGGATGTAGTGGTGGCCAAGCATATGCACAGGCCTTGGGGACAATTCCTGGTTCTCCCAGCCAACCAACCAGTCAACCAACAAAACATACAAATAAATACCAAAGAATCCAAAGGAGACTCTTTCTGGCCTAGCTCTCTATTCTGCTTCCTACTCCTACTTTTGGACGATATTTTACAATTACTTATATAGCATCAAAAGTAAGCGCTTAAGAAAAAATCCCAAATGAAACACTTAAAACCTAAACTGCTTGTTTCCTGGTGAGAAGAGCTATTCCTACTGTTATTGGCCGAGCTGGTGAAGGAGCCCCTAGAACAGTGGCAGATGTGCCGCTCTGAATTATGATCCTCCGGCCCCAGAGGGACATTTGGTTGTGTCGCCTCCCAGTCCTTCTCACTTTAAAACAGTCCTCCAGACCTGAGGGAACCTTGTTGTAATGACTGGAGTTGACCGGACAGAACGGAAACCCATGTAGGAAAGATGGGTTTTGGTCAAGGCCGTGCTTGCTGGCTGGCAGGGAGGGAGGGCCCTGTGGGCCAGGACTAGTGTGCTTTTTTCTTTCTTTCTTTCTTTCTTTCTTTCTTTCTTTCTTTCCTTCCTTCCTTCCTTCTTTCTCTTTCTTTCTTTCTTTCTTTCTTTCTTCCTTTCTCTCTTTCTTTCAGGACTAGCGTCCTTCCTTCCTTCCTTCCTTCCTTCCTTCCTTCCTTCCTTCCTTCCTTCCGATTTATTATGTACACAGTATTCTGCCTGCATGTATGTCTGCAGGCCAGAACAGGGCACCAGATCTCATTACAGATGGTTGTGAGCCACCATGTGGTTGCTGGGAATTGAACTCAGGACCTCTGGAAGAGCAGTCAGTGCTCTTAACCTCTGAGCCATCTCTTCTGCCCCGTGTTTTCTTTTAGAAATACCATTTTCCCCAGGACAGATATGTTCTTCACTGTGTCCCCCAGGGGTAGGTGCCAGAGGCCATCCCCACAGTCCTCTTTTATATAAGTCCTTCCCCTCAATGCAGGAGCACAAGATAGCCCCTCCTCCCCTAGACCCAGAGCCTTGACAAAGTCTGTTTCTCGAAGGCCGTGTCTAGTGATGCTCACAGTTTGGGGAGGGTGGGGGAGTAAAGCTTCCTACTGCTGATACCCTTGAGGCCTTATGTTCACCAGGACCTGGACGTGGACATCCTGGCCTTGGTTAATGATACTGTGGGGACCATGATGACGTGTGCTTATGATGATCCCAGCTGTGAAGTCGGTGTTATCATTGGTAACTCAATGGACTTGGTGTTTTGGAGGTGGGAGAGGGGGCTAGTTGGGGCTGAGTTTGAGTAAAATCTAAATAAAATCTAGATAAATATGAAGGGTGCTGCCATTTTTAGGAGAAGCAACACAGGGAGATAGAAAACCTACTGTCTGTCCATCTTCCCTCCCTCCTCCTGTCCTTCTTCTGTCCGTCCATCCATCCATCCATCCATCCACCTATCCATCCATTCTCCCTCCACCCATCATCCCTCCTTCCATCTTCCCTTTCTCCATTTATCTTCCCTCACTCCCCTCCATCCATCCTCCCTCCTTCCCTCCCTCTCTCCTCCTCTCCTTCCATCTATCCCCCATCCATCTTCCTCCCCCCATCCATCTTCCATCCCCTGCCCCTTCCTTCCCACTCTAGTCTCTTCATTGCTGTGGTGTGCTGGGCCTGTGCTCAAGGCTGGCTCCTGTTCTGTCCTGTGCGTTCTGGGAATCTCAGCTGGAGCTGAACATATCAGTTCCCATCTGTAATCTCAGCTCTCATGGACCAGAGGCAGGAAGATTGCTATGATGCCAGCCGGGGCTACTTAGTGAGTTTTAGCCTGGCCTGGGTTTAAGAGTGAGCACCTGTCTCAGTAGGGCCCACAATTGAGAGACTAATTCCCAGGACAAGGGTAGAAGAAGACAACCTGTCCAGAGGCCACTGAACTCTTGGAAGAGGTGTAGAAGGGGCCTGAGCCATGAAAGTTAGATGCTGCCAACTCGTCCAGCAGCTGGGAGAGCCTTGAGAAGGCAGTTGGAGGCAGAATGCATTCAAGTAATATTTTGAGACAGAGTTTCATCTGTAGACCAGGCTGGTCTTGAACTCATGATCCTCCTGGATGTCAGGTGTGTGTGTGTTTGTGTGTGTGTGTGTGTGTGTGTGAGAGAGAGAGAGAGAGAGACAGAGCGAGAGAGAGACAGAGAGAGAGAGACAGAGAGAGAGAGAAAGAGAGACAGAGAGAAAGAGAGACAGAGAGAGAGACAGAGACAGACACACACACACACACACACAGAGAGAGAGAGAGAGAGAGAGAGAGAGAGAGAGAGAGAGAGAGAGAGAGAGAGAGAGAGAGAGAGAGAGAGAGAGAGAGAGAGAGAGAGAGAGAGAGAGCGAGCACATGTGTATTGCCACCATTCTTGGCTCCTAAGTTGCTCTCAAATAGCCACTTGTCAGCCTTCTATTTCTCTGCCAGGGCAGGGTGGAGGGCAGTTTCTGATTTCCCTTGGCCTGGCTTCCCTAAGGGAGATCTGTCTACATGAGCAGCTTGAAACCCTTCCAGGGACCCCTCCCTTCACATCAGGGCAGGCATTTGCCAGTCACAGTATTCCCTGCTATTGTCCCCTCTGTCGTGGTGACTGTGTTTGGGACCACAGATTGAGTTTCAAGCCTGAGCATTGTCCCACACTTGTCTGCGAAAAGCTTTTCCACATACCATGTTATAGTCTGTGTTTTTGCATGTCTCGTTTCTTTATATTACCCTTAAAAATACCCAGACCAGGGTATCAGCCAGGGAGATAATCAGTAAATGAATGGAGGAATGAAGTGTCAAAGCAGCTTGCTTTACTGAGGCATAAAATTTCTCTTGCTTCAGGTATGTAATTTAGTGGTTTCTCTCCATAAACTCTCAGAGCTTTGTAAACTCAGCTCATTCTAGTTTTAAAATATTTTCACTATCCCAAAATGTGTACACATTTGCAGCCCTTCCCCAGTGCTGGGGTGTGTGTTTCCTTGGAGTGGTTTTGTTCTCAGCAAAGGTGTCTGGATTTCTTAGGGGATATTTACTATCCAAGATCAGATGCACCTCTCCTCAGGACCATTGATGGAGTCAGGAGTGAACAGTGTAAGCAGACCTGAGAGATGGCCCAGCACCTCTCCTCAGGACCATTGATGGAGTCAGGAGTGAATAGTGTGAGCAGACTGGAGAGATGGCTCAGCCCTTAAGAGAATGGAGAGGACCTGATTTCCATTTCCAGCATCCACACTGGGTGGCTCACACATCTGTAACTCCAGCTTCAGGGCATCTGACACCCTGTTCTAGACTCCATAGCCACCTATACACATATACACATACCCACCCCATAAATAAAGAAGTTTAAAGAACAGTTTTAGTGTCAAATAGAGAGGAATTGGGTAAGGAAGTACTCTGATGGCAAGGATTTGTAGTTTTAATTTATGATTTTGGCTTACCCTCTCTTCCCTGGTATGCTTTTTTTTTTTTTTAACATTGGTGCATATTCACAAGGAATGGCTTCACAATTGCTTCCACTCATAGCTGCATACCATCATGACCTGAGGCGTGTGGGCCTTACTCCCCATGAGCTCAAGCTTGCCAGAGTGGTTCCCACCTCCAGAGCCAGCCGGGCAGTGTAAAAGCACCTGTGTGTATTTTTCAGTACTCAGGGTAGTTAAGTTCTCCTCGGTTTACCCAGCCTGGTGCCCTTTTGTCTTTGTGTGTTCTCTCTGACCGAATTTCCAGGAACAGGCACCAACGCGTGTTACATGGAAGACATGAGCAACATTGACCTTGTGGAAGGTGACGAGGGAAGGATGTGCATCAACACAGAGTGGGGCGCCTTCGGGGACGACGGGGCTTTGGAGGACATTCGGACAGAGTTTGACAGAGAGCTGGACCTTGGCTCACTCAACCCTGGGAAGCAACTGTAAGTGCTGTCTAATCAGCATTGGGAAGTCCCTGCCCCCTCAGTCGCTCTCTGTATCTCGAAAGGTTTCCAACTGTGACCGGTCAGTTCCCACATCAAGTCTGTCCCCTAGGATATAACCACAGTTCTCAGGCAGTCACCCTAGGTTATAACCACGCTTCTCATGTAGTTCACAGTTCTGGAGTGTGCATGTGCATCCAAGGCTCTGCTAATAAGGTTGTGAACCAAATAGCATGCTTCTGCCTTCTTTGAGTCTGGAGGCGAATGGACACAGAGGAAAACCAGGCACAGAAACACAGGACCCTGCCCTGGGATTCCTGTGTGTGCTTCCTGGGGGCTCCCCTGCCACCAGACATCCTCAAGAGCCCCATCTCACAGCAGCCAATGGGTTCGGCCACACCCTTTTTGAGTTTCAGCCATGGCCTGTAGAAAAGTTGCTCCAGCATCTCCTGCAGCTCTTTGCTATGTGCGGGCCTATCACAAGGCTCAGTTCACAGCTGGCTTTGCTGTCCTTTCTACATGCAATGTCTTATGCATCATTTGCAGCTCACTGCTTTTGCTTTTTTGTCTGATCCTTGCACACACCAATTTCCCTCTAACTGAACTGTTACGAGCTAAGGCTGTAGCATTCACTAGACTATCATTTTCATTTCTCTCTGCTTCATGTAAAAGAAATTCCACTCCCTTAAATCAAACCTTAATTTCACTTGCTTACCTTCTGTTTCTTCAATGTTCTAAGATGATTATTAAAAAAATTAGTTTTTATTTGTGTGTGTGTGTGTGTGTGTGTGTGTGTGTGTGTGTGTGTACATGTACAGGTGTGAATGCAGGTGCCCACAGAGGCCAGCAGATGGCATTGGGTCCCCCTTCCCCAGAGCTGGAGTTACAGAATGTTGCCAGCTGTCTGATGTGGGTACTGGGAACTGAACTTGGGTCTTCTGGAAGAACAGCAAATGCTCTTAAACACTGAGCCATCTCTCCAGCCCCAGTGGCCTAAAAGTTTTTATATTGCAATCTGTAAGGCTGGTTATGAAATAGGTAGTCCTGGATCTGTGTCATACTATATTTGAAGACTGGAAATTATATAGAAAACAATTAGCAGTTGTCTGGTTTCGAGACTCAGAGTAAAGAGGTAAGGGCTGGCTTCTGGAGTCTTCCATCCACGTCATGGAGGACCTTCTCTGGGGCTCTCCGAGCTTCATGTCAGGCAGATTTCTGGTGCTGTAACTAATGTCTGAGTTAGTCAGCTTGTGAAGGTCCTCCTGGCTCACAGTTTTGGAGGTTCTAGCCCATGACCAGCTGGTCTCATTGCTTTGGGGCCTGTGGCCAGGCAACATGTATGGTGGAAGTATGCGGTGGAAGAAACCATACATGGGGAAATTTACCTCATGGCTGGGTATGATGTGACACAGACAGGGGGTCCGAGAAATGGCTGGGTCCTTCTCTCTCCTTCAAGGGCATGCCCCTAATGGGGAGTGAACTTTGATGAAGTTCACTTCATAAAGGGTCCACCACCTTCCGATAGTGCCATATAGGACGAGGACAAACCCTTTGACAAATTGGCCCTCAGTGAACAGTCCAGATTGAAATCTCAGCACCAGGTTCCCTGAGACAAGCTCAATGCAGGAGTTGGAAGCATCAGAGTCTCTGCTCTGGCTTGTCACTCCTTAGCCAAATGAGCTTAGGAAAGTAGCAAAAATCTGCGACATTGTGGCTCCTCATGGCCAAAGTAGGAATGGCTCCCCACAGCCAGGGCTACCTTCTCCACATGTGTTGGCATTGGGGAACTAATGCTACTTATCCTGAGGTATCACTTCCACTGACCCACTCATCCCTTTGCAGGTTTGAGAAGATGATCAGTGGCCTGTACATGGGGGAGCTGGTTAGGCTCATCTTACTAAAGATGGCCAAAGTCGGTCTCCTCTTTGGGGGCGCAAAATCCTCCGCCCTGCATACAAAGGGCAAGATCGAAACACAGCACGTGGCTGCCATGGAGAAGTAAGCTGCTGGGGTGTCCCTCCTGCTTTGCCTCTGTGGAGGGCTGGGGTTGGTGGCCACAGTGCCATGTGCTCAGATGACAGAGCCACAGTAGGAACCAGACCCTTCCTCCTTCACAAGGAGTTTCAGTCCTGGGCATGGCTTTAGACAAGCTACAAATTTCTGTGTGGCTAAGTGTCACACTCTTGTGGGTTTCATTAGCCAGGGGCTATCAGAAAGCTACCCTCTTGCCACTTTTTTTTTTCTGCCTTCTTCCTCCCTTGAATGGTGACTAGTAATATTTTTAGGGTCACAGATCTCTTGGAGAATCAGAGTCAAGTACTTAGTAAATAATAGCTTCTGTTTGCAGTGCTGATATGATTATTGGCTAAACTGTATTATTATGAGATAGCGCACACAACCCTGAGATCACACATCCCAGCAGGATGCCCATGGCCTGGAGAAGTGTGGGCCTCTCTTTCCTGTCCCCTGGCTAGGTATAAAGAAGGCCTGGCCAACACTAGAGAGATCCTGGTGAATCTGGGCCTGGACCCCTCTGAGTCAGACTGCATAGCTGTCCAGCATGTGTGCACCATCGTCTCTTTCCGCTCCGCCAATCTCTGTGCTGCTGCTCTGGCAGCCATCTTAACACGCCTCCGAGAGAATAAGAAGCAGGCCCGGCTCCGCACCACAGTGGGCATGGACGGAACCCTCTACAAGACACACCCTCAGTAAGTGCCACCCACAGGCCTGCATCCCACCACAGATTCCCCCTTGTTGCTGAGCCCTGTTGCTCATTCAGGTCTATGTTGCATATCTGGGCAGCTAGAATCAATGGCCTCTTATTAGTTCTAAGATTTCAAGAGCAAGACTGAGACGAGCCTGCGTTTACACTCTTAAAGAGATGGGCCATTAGCTGCATGTGGCGTGCATACCAGTAACCACAGAACTCAGAGGGGTGTATCAGCAGCAGGTTTTTTAGAATAGAGCAATGAAGTACTCCACTGTAAGGAGGAGGAAGAGAACAAGACTGAGGGTAGCCTGGGGTATACAGCAAGACTCATCTCAAAAAAAAAAAAAAAGTCTGTTAAAGGAATTGCCTAATTAGAAAGTCACTCATCTATCTACCCCTTCATGTATACATCCATCAGTGTGTTCATTCATTCATCTCTCCTGTGTCCGTCTGCCCACCTCCCTGCCCGCCTGTGTGTCTATTCATCTCCCTTCCTACCTGCCTAGCTACCTTTCTTTCTGTCATCTGTCTAGCCATCTTTCTCTCCATTATTTAGGTAATACCTGCTGCATGGGAAGACTGAAAAAACCTAGTTATTGATGGGGAAAACTAGTGATGGCAGAGGTTGCCAGGTCCTGCTAGGAAGATGGTGGGGAAATGAAAATTTCTCGGGAGGATCCAAAGTGAAAGACCCTCTAGCTAATGGAGGCGGCTTTGGAAGCCAGGAGTGTACACCCTAGAAAGGGCTGAGCGAGCAAATCCTTCCTCTTTGGACAGAGGTGACATCTGTCCATGCACATGCCCTTTGTGTCGAAACATCAGCATTTCCCTTAGCTTCCAGCGTGTCCTTTCTACTGTCACAGTTGTCGTAGTTCAGCCCCACACTGTCCAACAAGCAGGGCCTCTAGACCCCGCTGCCCACTAACCCTGTGTCTGTTCCCACTGGCCAGACCCAGCTTTTATGACCGTGCAATGTTTGACTGTCACCTCTACCCTCAGGTACCCCAAACGCCTGCACAAGGTGGTGAGGAGACTGGTCCCAAACTGCGATGTCCGCTTCCTCCTATCAGAGAGTGGCAGCACCAAGGGGGCAGCTATGGTGACCGCAGTAGCCTCTCGGGTGCAGGCCCAGCGTAAGCAGATTGACAAGGTGCTGGCTTTGTTCCAGCTGACCCGAGAGCAACTCATGGGTGTGCGGGACAAGATGCGGACTGAGCTAGAGTACGGGCTGAAGAAAGAGACTCATGCTCTGGCTACGGTGAAGATGCTCCCCACCTATGTCTATGGGATGCCTGATGGCACAGGTAGGTTGGCACAGCCACCTGCTTGATAGGCACATGCAGAGCTCCCATCTACACTCTGCAAATGCAGTGACCGTTAGAGCCTTGGGCGAGAAGAGGGGGCAGTCGGTAGAGGTTAGTTCCAGACTGCAAGACTTGGTTAAATCACTTGTGCACCTCTGTGGTGTGTGTGTGTGTGTGTGTGTGTGTGTGTGTGTGTGTGTGTGTGTTCTTAGGGCAGGTGAGCCTCCCTCTGGACACTTGGGCCATGTGGGCCTTCAGGGCTTTTTTCCTCTGGTAGGCCCTTTTCTGGGGTCCAGATTCTGGCATTGCTCCTTACTGTTTTTGGCCCTGACTTCTCCAACTCTGGATCCTGCTCCTTTATGCAAAGCTGAGGGAAACTGTGGCTGCTTCACTTCTAGGACTCTCCGGAGCCTCTTCAGGGAATAAGGCCTTTGCCAACTGCCTTTGTAGCCATTTCTTTTTCCTTTTTCTTTTTCTTTTTCTTTTTTTTTTTGTTGGTTATTTTTGTTTTTTAAGACAGGGTTTCTCAGTGGCTTTGGAGGCTGTCCTAAACCTAGCTCTTGTAGACCAGGCTGGTCTTGAACTCACAGAGATCCACCTGCCTCTGCCTCCTGAGTGCCTGGACTAAAGGCATGTGCCACCACCGCCCAGTGGTGTTTTTCTTTAAAAATACTTTTCTTTTACTTTTATTAATTTTGGAAGTGTGTGTTGACATGTCACAGCACACATGTGGAGATTAGAGGACAACTGTGGGAGTTGGTTCTCTCTCCTGCCACCTTGTGGGTTCTGAGGATCAGACTTGGGTTCTTAGACTTGGCGGCAAGTGACTTTACCCTCTGAGCTCAGCTCTCTTGCTGGACCATGCTCAGGCCTTACAGTTTGCTTTGGATGCTACATTTCATCCTTACAAATCACTTTGCCTGTTAACTAAAGAAGGAATATTCCCATCTCATGAACGCTGCAGGCTAGTAAGATTCTGAGGCTCACACTTTGAATCTTTGTTGTTTAGTTTTACTTTTAGTTTTCCACACAGGGTTTCTCTGTGTAGCCCTGGCTGTCCTGGATCTCACTCTGTAGATCAGACCAGGCTGGCCTCCAACTAAGAGCTCTGTCTTCCTTTGCCTCCTGAGTGCTGGGGTTAAAGGCATGTGCCACTACCACCTGGCCACTTTGACTCTCTCTCTCTCTCTCTCTCTCTCTCTCTCTCTCTCTCTCTTAAATTTATTTACTTATTTTTATCACATAACTGTTCAGTCTGCATATTTGCCTGCATACCAGAAGAGGGCACCAGCTCTCATGATAGATGGTTGTGAGCCACCATGTGGTTACTGGGAATTGAACTCAGGACCTCTGGAAAAGCAGTCAGTGCTCTTAACTTCTGAGCCATCTCTCCAGCTCCCATTTTGAATCTCTTAACAACAGTTTTTTTTTTTTTTTTTTTCTGGAGCCCAAATCCTTTCAGTTTACAGGAAATCAGGGAACAGAAAGATAAACCAGCCAGTTCTTTCTCCTTTCATCCCTTTGCATCTTCTGCCCTTGTCTCTCGAATCTCCATGAAACAGCAACTGTATTTTAGGCTCTGTTTTAGGCACAGCAATAGTGTATAGTTCCTGTCCTGTCCTTAGACAGGCAGGCAGACAGTGAAAATGTAAATGGGACGTGATACCAGGAAATGGCAGGCACTAGGAAGAAAAGTGGAGATGGCTGGAATGATGTCTTTGACACTGGTGTGGTTAGAACTGAGTAGGTGAACGGAGAGCAAGGAGCATTTGTGTAAACCAGGCTCTGACCCTGAGAGGCAGGGGAAGAGGTCCTGTGGCTGGAGACCTGCACAGCTCATGATGCAGGGCTGGAGGTGGCCTCCCAGCTTGGGAATGTGGGGATCAGGGACTAGGAAACAAGAATTGGTTTATGCCAGGTCACTGAGATGGCTCAGAGGGTGAAGGCTTTACTTGTGCAAGCCTGGCAACCTGAGTTCGATCCCAGGATCACATGTGGAGGTGGAAGGAGAGAACCAACTCCACAAAGTTGTTCTCTGACCTCTAAATATGTGCAGTGACACATTCACCCTCTCACCCATGCCACGCACACACTGCACACCACAAAAGAAGAGGTTCATGCTTGTGGTGTAGGATTCCTCTGGCCTGTTTAAACAGGATAGAAATCAGTCCCTTGCACTCAAGTTAGCTGGCTAGGGTTCCCCTGAGTGCCTGCTTCAGAACATTACATCCTCTACCAGAAGCCCGACTCAGTACACAGCGCTTAACTCCTGTTGGTCAGTGGGGTTTAGAGCTGGAAGAACTCTTAAAGGCCCAACCTCCTTGTAGGTTTTTTTTTTTTTTTTCTCTTACTCTTTAGGGGCCTGCCACCCAGCTCCCAAATAAAACAGGGAGACTTATTCTTACTTATGAATGCCTGGCGTTAGCTTGACTTGTTTCTAGCCAGCTCTTCTTAAATTATCCCATCTACCTTTTGCCTCTGGGCTTTTACCTTTCTCTATTTCTGTATATCTTTTCTTTCCTTCTTATTCCGTGTTTGGCTGTGTGGCTGTGTGGCTGTGTGGCTGTGTGGCTGGTCCCTGGCCTCTTCCTCTCCTCCTTTTCTCTCTTGCTCTCTCTCCTTTCTTCTCTTCTTATTTATTCTCTCTGCCTGGCAGCCCCATCCATCCCTCTTTCTTTCCTAGCTATTGGTTGTTCGGTTCCTTTTAGACCAATCAGGTGTTTTAGACAGTCAAAGTAACACGGCTTCATGGAGTTAAACACATGCAACATAAAAGAATGCAGCATGCCTTTGCATCATTAAACAAATGTTCCACAGCAGAAACGAATGTCACATACCTTAAAACAATATTCCACAACCCCTCCGCCTTCAGTAGACATGGAAGGAGGCCCAGGCTATTTCTCAGAAGCAGTGGGTGGTATGGGTGGTGCATGGGTCTTAGAGGAAATGAGGGCTAAGAAAACAGCTCTAGCCTAAGAGGTTCAAGGCACCTGCTGGGGCCTGAATGTTCTTGGTCTAGGAGTCCAGGAGCAGAGGCTCCCCTTCTGCTGGGCTTGGCCCTCTACCCTTCCTCCCAGTGCCCAACAGGGATCTCTGTCCAGCATGTGTGGGTGGGATGCAGCCTCCATCTTCTCTACCACAGAGAAAGGAAAGTTCCTTGCCCTGGATTTGGGGGGAACTAACTTCCGAGTTCTCCTGGTGAAGATCAGAAGCGGAAGGAGGTCGGTGCGCATGTACAACAAGATCTTTGCCATCCCCCTGGAGATCATGCAGGGCACCGGTGAGGAGGTGAGTGGTAGGCCCGGTGCCGGCTGCCTCACCCATCCGCGCCTGCCCTGCATCCTGCATGAATGCCTCTCTCTCTCTCTGCAGCTGTTTGACCACATCGTGCAGTGCATCGCTGACTTCCTGGACTACATGGGCCTCAAGGGGGCCCAGCTGCCTTTGGGCTTCACATTCTCCTTTCCCTGCAGACAGACGTGCATTGACAAGGTAAGATGGCCCTGCCAGACACACAGCTGGCCTAGAGGCTGCCCTCCCCTGGGGCAGTTTGAAGCTCCTCTTGTCTATGCTCACATTGGTTTTGCTCAGTGAACATATGTAGCAGATCCACATAATGTGATCTGGGAAGCTCTGCACAGTGTGTCACTAAGCAAGGGAGGCAAATGGTAGTGATTTACACAAAATGTAAATTTGCTCATTTCATTGTGCACAGAGAAATGGGTTTAGAGGGATTTTCAGTGAACGTACAGTAGCAGTTACTCTTGGGAGGAAGGGCTTTATTCTCACCAGTAACATTTTAGCTTAGGTTTTTTTGTTTGTTTGTTTTAAAAAACAGAACTAACATACTCATGCTATTGCTGACATTAAGAATGAAGAGACTACATGGGTACAGTGGCGCACGCCTTTAATCCCAGCCCTTGAGAGGCCGAGACAGGTGGATCTCTATGAGTTTGAGGGCAGCGTGGTCCACTTAGTGAGTTCCAGGACAGACTGGGCTGCATAATAAGACTCTATCTCGGAGATAAGCAAAACAACAACAACAAAGAAAAACCATAAACAAACACCCAAACAAAACATAAAAAAATATGACAAACCAAACAAGCAAAACAATCAAGCCAAAAAGAATGAATAGACCGTGGAGAAGAGCCCTGCATGGCTCTTAGTGGTTCTGAATGATGGATGGGCCCCAAACACAGCAGCACCTCTGATCCAAGCCACTGATACTTCATGACTGTCCTGACTCCCAGAGGAGGCTGATGAAGAGGGGGGTAGCTGGGAGCAAAGCCACCAATGGTCACAGGGGAAAAGGAAGATGAAAGATTGCTTATTTTTATGTGGTTGCAATTTATAAAAAAAAGGTTTTCCAGTGGGAATATGCCCTAAGGACTATGGAGAGGAGACTGGGGCTTGATAGCGGAAGGTCTCAGGTGAGACGGTGTCTAGCCAGGAGTTCCATGGGCAACCCTTCCCGGCCCAACACCCTAGCTCTGCCAGTTGCTCCCACTTCCAGCTTTCTAGGCTGTGGAGCTGGGGTAGAAAAATCCTAGACCAGGGTAACAGCTTCTAAACATTAAAATACTACCATGAACATTGAGTGTATTGATTTTAGAAAATATAGAAAAATTAAAATGCACACATAGGGGGCCAGAGAGATGGCTCAGAGGTTAAGAGCACTGGCTGCTCCTCCAGAGGTCCTGAGTTCAATTCCCAGCAACCACATGGTGGCTCACAACCATCTCTAGTGGGATCTGATGTCCTCTCCTGTCATAAAGTCATACATGCAGATAGTATACATATAATACTCATATACATAAAATAAATAAATAAATAAATACATAAATCTAAAAAAAAATACTCATAGTCTTGGACCCAAAGATAGCCAGTCACCCCTTGAGCACATATTGTTCCAGGCCCTTTTCTAGGCTGAATATTTCTGTCATTTTAAAAATAAAAAGTGAATTAAATCTCTAACTGTGTTTTAATGGCTTTTATTTACAAGTTCTCCAATGAGCCATGTTACCTGATAGTGCGAATGTTCTGGTTTGTGTTAACTTAGACAGTCATGGCAAAGACAATAAATCTTCACAATACTGCTGGGGGACAAGATGGTGCTTGTCACTGTCTAACAGTGCTTTGACTGACAGGACCTCTGAGGATACCTCAGTCTGCCATGGGCTACATTAGAAGCCGGTGGCTCTGCCTCCAGACTTTGATTCTGTGTAGCTGTGGCAGGGACACATCTGACTCTTGAAGAGCATGCAGAGCTGCGGAGAGCCCATTTGGCAGGAGCCCTTGTCTGGGCTGTGTTGGGACAATAGCGGTAGAGGCAGGCCAAGAGCACGCATGTCTCGCCTGTAATCGGATTCAGTACCTCGTGTCTGTTGGAGCTGTTCTGTGATCCTGAGAAGTACTGCTCAAGTGACGGTCCCCTTTTTTGTTTCAGGGGACTCTAGTAGGGTGGACCAAAGGCTTCAAGGCCACTGACTGCGAAGGGGAGGACGTGGTGGACATGCTCAGAGAAGCCATCAGGAGGAGAAACGTAGGCTATGGTGGGGAGGCACATGGTGGACCTTGCCCTCTTCCCCTGGGCCCTTCCCCTGGGCCTTCCCATGCTATGCTCAGGCCCTGTGACACAGGCTTAGGTCTGCCTTGTGCCCCTTGCACATTCTGCTTTCAGGGCAGTTGCTTGCTTCCTTTGCAGGAGTTTGACCTGGACATAGTTGCAATCGTGAATGACACGGTGGGGACCATGATGACATGTGGCTATGAAGATCCCAATTGTGAGATTGGCTTGATTGCAGGTGAGTGGTCAGGCATGGCCCACTGGCCTGGCCCTATCTGTCTCTCTTGAGGGATGGTGGGGGTCACTGCTCTGCTGCCAGAGGTTACTCTAGAGGGGGATGCAACTCAGTCTGGGGTTCTAGGCCGACTAGTTCCAAATCTTGTAATGTCTCTTTCTCACAAAGCCTCTAAGCCATGGTCATTCTTTTCATTGAGGAAGGAGAAGACACACAAAGGAGTTTTCTTCCTTTTCATCCTTCATGTTTTGGACATCTTCATAATTGTATATAATGTGTCATTTTTAGAGTCTCCCCTCATTACTGTGCCCCCCTTCCTTAGACTCCCTTCTTCTTTCCACTTACAGTTCTAGGGTCAGGTATCTTGGGAGGAAGGAGGCCACGGTGGGACATGCTGTCTGGGGCCACGGAGCTGGGTTCTGACTCTGGCTCTATTGCACACTTCACCATGGCCTGGATTCTTCTGGCTCTTTGGGTGCATGTGAAGGGCAAGAGTTGAAAGGCAGTGGTCCAAATTCAAGAGTGGCTTCCAGAGGGAGAAGTTTCTCTGAGAGGCTAGGGGACAGGTGGGATTTAAAGACTGAAGATGAGCATGAATGGCCTTCCAGGTGACAGGCACAGCTGAGTGGAGACAGTCTGGAGAAGTGGTTCTGGGCTTGACTGGGCTCACTGGATAAGATCAGGGGGCAAGACAGGCAAATGAAGATCAATGGGTATGTGTTCAGGGCTCTCCCACAGACTCCTGTCTGCACATGAGCATAAGCGAGCTAAGTATTCTGACTCACACAAGCTTCCTCATCGGTAGGAAGGTTGGGCCAGATCCAGGAGGTTACATGGATGAGGTCAGTGTGAGTGAATATGATGGGTACCTAGACTGCTGTGTGGGAGTTCTGGGGCCAGGTCATGCATGGGCAAGGGGGAAAGAATGGCTCCCAGATACCAGAAGTCCACTTGTCCAAGGTTGGACTATTCCTCATGGCCCTTGTCAGCGCTGATGCTAAGTCTGTGGCTCCTTGGGAGCTTTGTATACCTATAGGCCTGCTGTCGCTGCTACTGCTGCTGGGGGTGATAGGATAGACATGATGAGGATGATGACAATACTAATAACAATGATGACAGGGATGATGGTGATGATGATGAGAATTCTGCTGTGAGGATGATGATGATGATGGGGATGCTGATGTAGCTATAGGTACTCATGGTGATGCCAACTATGGTGATGGTGATAGTGGTGATGGGAAATACGATGGTGATGATGATGATGATGACACTGATAATGATGGGGATGATGCTGATGCTGATCCTGCCGGTAATGAGGGATAATGATGGTGGTGATGGGGAATCTGAGGATGATGGGGATGCCGCTGCTACCGCTGAAGACGGGAAGTATCATTGGCTGCTTAACATGTGGAGAAAATATACAAATGCCTTATTTTTTTTTTATAACAACTCCTTAGAGCACTTGCTTAAGACTGGCCAGCTGAATGCAGAACTGGAATCCCGTCCAGCTCTGTCTCAGACCCCAACTTATTTATGGCACTCATCTGCCTCTCTTAGACCTGGTGTCGTGCTTGAGGTCTAAAGGCCCTCCGTGATCCCTTTCAGGGACAGGAAGCAACGCGTGCTACATGGAGGAGATGAGGAACATTGAGCTGGTGGAAGGGGACACAGGGCGCATGTGCATCAACACAGAGTGGGGAGCGTTTGGGGACAATGGCTGCATAGACGACATCTCCACCCAGTACGACAAGGAAGTGGATGAGGGCTCCTTGAATTCAGGCAAGCAGAGGTGAGAAGGGCAGGTGGTTGTGCATGTGTCATGTGTGATGGGAGCACTTTCTCCAGACCCTTGGAGCATCAACCTGACAGCTTTGTCTATGCCTATTACACCCTTGTACCATATGTCAGTGCAGGGTCACCCTGGAATAAAAGAAGGCCATCTTGATGTTTCTAACACAGAAGGAGGGGTCACTTTTCTAATCAGCACTAGGTGCCCTGAAGGCCAGTGGGGCTCAGGAAGAGGTCAAGGTCCTTAGCCTTGTCAGGTCAGTGAGCTGTAGGGTGGGAAAGTGGTCCCCAGAGTGGATGGAGGGCTGGCTCGCAACACGGTATCACAACTTGTCATGGGTCACACACCTTCAGTTAGTAACCACTGAAAAGACAGAGGAGCATGAATGGCTTCTAAACACCTTGCAGAAGATTTCCACCTGCATTCTGATGCACACCAATGGGCAGGGAAGAAAGGACTAGACCGGGGCCTTGCTAGTGTCATAGGCCCTGTTTGTGAGCCTGGGCCCTTCCCCTGCAACAGGGTCGGGAAACTTTTCTCTGTAAAGGGCCAGAGAGTGTTTTAGATTTAGTGGCTCATATGGTCTCTGTCCAGGTAAGCTTGGTATTAGAATACTGTAGGCTGAGAGAAAACCAGGATTTATTATGGTGGATGATAAGCAAGTAGAGGCTGAACAGGTTGGAACAGAGGGCTTCAAGGGGGACTGTTGATTGGAGAGCATTGTCTAGGAAGAGGCTTGAGCAAGGACAGGATGGGTATTGGTGGTTCCTCACCCTGCTTTGGCAATTTTTTGTGACTGGATGACAGGTGAGCTGTTGTAACCCTAGTGTGAGCCAGTCATTCTGAAACAAAGGGCCCTCAGGCTGAGGGTGCAGCAGGTTGTAGAGTTCTGGAGTAGTGTGCACAAGGCCTGGGCTCAGTTCTCAGCACTGCATTAGAAAGGGGCTGAATTCAGACCTTCTCTTCAAATGTCTGTTTGCAGCTCTTCTCGAAGGTAAAGTGTCTGGGACTTAGTCCTGTGTCTGTCTGCTGGGGCTCGTGTTTCTGGAATGAAGGTTTAATGGAGTGGAACTGACTTTTGAATGTAATGAGGACATGACTGCTCCAAGGTGTGAAGAGAAGGTTTTTATTGTAGATATGAGGGAGAGTCCAGCCAGAGAAATCTGAAGAGTCCAGAGAGAGAGAGAGAAGTAGACAAAACATGGCCAGTAGACTGAACTGGGCCATGAGATAAAGGAACAAAAAAAGAGAGCTGGCCCAAAGAGGGAACCAAGAGCCAGGAGACGAAGACCCAGAAAGCCAATGGCCAAAATAGCAAAGTTGTACAGGAATGAGAAGCTGGGGTGAGGGAAGTCCATGGACTGGAGAAGTTCAGGGTCGGGGGCATGGTAAGAAGACCTGAGAGGAGCCAGGCCAGCATGTATTTTCGTATGCTAATAGATACCACAGTTAGCCATTTGTCCTTTGGACATGACCAAGTTGCCTTGTGATATTTTGCAGATTTTTCTACTGGTTCCTAAAACAGTTGTGGGAATGAGGCTGGCACGCAGGTCTCAGTGCACTTGTGTCTCCATTCACCTCTGTGGTCCGTGGGAGTTGGGCTCCCCAGCAGTTAGGAGCTGGGAGTGCTGTGGGATTGCGCTCTGCTCTGTGGACTGAGGCTTCCGGGCACTGGCTGCTTCCTAAACCCCCTCTTTTCTTGCTGCTTGTCCTTATGGAGCATGGTGGAAAGGAAAAAGGATGTTTTTTTTTTCTTCGGAGACAGGGTTTCTCTGTGTAGACCTGGCTGTCATGGAACTCACTCTGTAGACCAGGCTGGCCTCAAACTCAGGGATCTGCCTGCCTCCCAAGTGCAGAGATTAAAGACATGCTCCACCACCTCCCAGCCGGATGAATTTTTTTTTTTTTTTCTTTTTAGCACTTCTTGAGTGTTGGTAGCTTGTTGTGATCTCTGGTGAACAGATGTCTTCAAAGGCAAAGTTGATGTCCCTGTGTCTAATGCAAAACCAAAACCCAAATGAAATAAACACAGCAGGAGATTTCCAGCAGCATGGACTGGCAGCAGGAGACCTGGGAGGGTTGGCATTGGGGCCACTGGAGGGCCCCTGCCAGTAACCCACTGGAGGGTTACCTGCCTTCTGCAGTCCTTAGAATCCTGCTTCACTCACAGTAGGGGCGTGGGAAGCTGTACTTGGCTCCCAGGTGGCTCTGAAGCCTACCTTTCTCACTTCACCCTGTTCTCTGCATTACGCTTATTTGACAACTGCAGGAAGAGCCTCCCTAGGCCACTCTGAACTGTGAACCTCAGGTGCCCGTGGCACACTTTCCACACCCAGACCTGAGTCCTCAGAAACCACTTCTCTGCTCTCTTCAGTCTTATCCCCTCTTCCCCAAACAGATATGAGAAAATGACCAGTGGGATGTACCTGGGGGAGATTGTGAGGCAGATCCTGATTGACCTCACCCGGCAGGGGCTCCTCTTCCGAGGGCACATTTCAGAGCGACTCCGGACCAGGGGGATCTTTGAAACCAAATTCCTGTCCCAGATCGAAAGGTAATGTGTGATGAAATTCTCTTGCTTGGTGTGGGATGCTTGGGGAAGGGAATGGCTGTCACCCCCCAGAGTAAGAAGAGTTGAGATTGGAAAATGAAAGCAAGACTGGGAATGTAGCTCATTTGGGAAGAGTGCTTGTCTAGCAAGCGTGATGCGCTGGGTTCAATCCCCAGCATCTTCATAAAGCAGGTGTGGTGATTCACACCTGTAATCTCAGCATTCAGGAAGTGGAGGCAGAGGAGAAGAGATTCAAGGTGCTCACTGGCTGCATAGTGAGTTTGAGGCCATTCTGTAGTATATGAAGCCCTGGAGAGAGAGAGGGAGAGAGTGTGCAGGAAGGCGCCAATGGGCATGGAGTCCCCTCAGTGCCCCTTCACAATCCACACACATCAGATTGCAGCCCACAGGACAGCGTACTGCCTGGGGGTAGAGATTAGCCTCAGGTCACTGAATTGAAAGGACTGCATGGGAATTAAGTTAGGGTGAATCTTAACCCTGCTGTATCCCTGAAAAGAAAAGATAATGTACCTGCAACAAAGAAAAGTATTCATATGCTTGTTACCAAACACAGCTATTTTGAGTTTTGTGAATTATGTCTCCTCTCAAGTTCTTTCATATATGCAGACTTGTTTGATACATGCCATCATATTATTTGTAATTTGCATATCATTTATTTAGTGTTTAGTCATAGAAAAATTCACTTAGAATGCATTTTGCTTGTTTGTTTTTTATATAGGGTCTGATTCAGCCCAGGTGGCCTTAAAGTTGCAATGTAGCTGACATCTGCCTCTATCTCCCAAGTGCTGGGGTTCCAAGTGTGTATTACCACTGGGTGGTGGTGGCACACGCTTTTAATCTCAGCACACAGGAGGCAGAGGCAGGAGGATCTGTGTGAGTTCAAGGCCAGCCTGGTCTACAAAGAGAGTTCCAGGACAGCCATGACTGTTACACAGAAAAACCCTGTCTTGAAAAAAGAAAAACAAAACAACCAAGTGTGTGCTACCATTCCTGGCTTCTGTTTTCCATTTTACTTTTTATTATGGAAAATTTTAAACATGTACAAAAGTAGAACAATAGTGAAATGGACCCAGTGTTCCCATCCCTGATCCCAACAAAGGTCAACTCATCACCAAAGCGGCTTTGTCACACACTCCTACTGGCCCAGCCTCTGGCTAGGTTAATTATGGAGTCCACACCTATGTCAGCTCAAGTCTAAATATTTAAAATGTATTTCCAGAACAGGAGCTCTTAAAGACCATAGCTGGTTGCCATTATCACACCTAAAATAGCTAATATTAAAAAGCTTAATCTCAAGATAGCTTTTTAGGCTGGGTGGTGGTGCACGCCTTTAATTCCAGCACTCAGGCAGAGGCAAGTGGATCTCTGTGAGTTCGAGGCCAGCCGGGTCTACAGAGTGAGTTGCAGGAAGTTGTTTGGTTTGCATTAGTAGCCAAGTGGGGCCTTTCTGTTTGGTTGTGTTTTACTCATGGGCATCCCCTCCCTTCCTTATTTTCCCTAACTGCTACATAGTTGTCAAGGAAACCATATATTATCCTAGGAGTGTCCTCTATTTCAGAGTTTGATGATTATAGCATTTAGTACTCTCCTCTGTCTCTTGTATTTCCTGGAAATCTTACATTTACCCTGAATGCCTGAGCAGACTCAGTGTTGAATTTTGGTCTGTCTTTATTCCATACTGTCACCACTCACTGATGCTTATTATGACAATCTTATGCTGTCAGCATTAATTAGTTAGAATATTTCTTGAAAGAGAACTTCCCTCTATCAGCTCATTAGTGTAATAATTATTTCGAGTGTCTGTATGAAACTTCCCTGTTACTATACTGTAATTTACTAAAATCCCCTTTAGTATTCGATGCCAAGGTAATTCATGAAATTGGGGAGGGAATAATGTTGGGGGAGGTGAGGTAGGAACTGGAGGGAAGGGGTGGGGGCAGGTTTGATCAAGACAAATTACATGCATATATGAAATTCTCAAATAATAAAAATTAATTTTAAAAAGGAATGGGAACTTGATAGGACCATGAGCATGTACAGAGAAATGGTGCCACAGGGACAAAGTGGGCTCAAGTCTAGACCCCAGTTAAGTCATAGTGAAGCAGTGATAACCAATAGTACTTTCAGACCTCTGACCCTCAAGCTAAAGCCTGTGAGTTGCATGCTAGACCATCTCAGCCAGGCTCAGGGAAAATCAGTGTCCTCAAAAGAATGACTGACAAGCCACTACTGTGGCCAACCAGGTTAGGGAGCTATCTGCAGACCGTGAGGATGACTTTTCATGGAGCCAGTTGATGTCATGGGAAATACTCGTGGCTGGAGAAGCCAGGGCTGATAAAGTGCCGTGTGCCATTGGTCTCGGGGGAACGGGGTGCTTGTTTGGGTTTCCTTTCTTGTTTCAGTGAGTTTGTTTTAATGTTTGTCTTTAGCCGGGAAAGGCTGAAGGGCAGCTCCTGAGACATTGGTTGGGTTACAGGCGCTTCTTGTTTTCCTCCTTTCACTTGTTTTTTTTATTTATGTTGTGATGCTAGGAACCGAACCCTAGAGCCTCCTGCATGCTAGCCAAGCACTCTACCAACTGAGAAAGCGAACTCTTTCTCCATCTCCCTTCCCCTCCTTCTTCCCAGTATTTCCCTTTGAAACCCAGGCTGGCCTCTCCTGCCTCAGCGGCGTGCTGAGATATAGGCCACCAGCAAACCTGGCTTCTTCTAGGAAGAACTCTTTGGGCTCAGGGAAAACAGAGCACAGGCCAGCCAGGCTGATCAGAGGGGGAAGCGGTCCTCAGAGGATCCGGCTGGTCACACCTGCTCATTAGCATTCCAGGCCATCTGCTGATTCACCCTCCCCCTCCTCCCCCTTTCCCTCCTCCTCTGCCCCCTCCTCCTCCCCCCTCCTTTTTCTTTTTCTTTTCCTCTCCTCTCTTCTTCTTCTTTTTAAAGATTTATTATTTTCATTTTACAAGTATGCTTTGTCTGCCCTGAGTGACTCGTGCCTGCAGAGGCCGGAAGAGGGCACCAGATCCCCTGGGATTAGCATTCCAGGCAGTTATACACTGCCGTGCTGGTGCTGCGAACTGAACCCCGGTCCTCTGCAAGAGCAGCCACTGCTCTTCAACCCCTGAGCTCTCCTTTTATAGGCCCCCGATTCTACAGTGATTCTTTCTTCTACCACCAGCTCCTCAGACAGCAAGAACCCTACAGTAGCTCCCTCGTGAATGCTGACTTCACTTTGTCAGAGAGAATTTACACTCTTTGTAAAGAGAGAATACTGATGCATTTTTCTTTATTTTCTTCTGTTACCGTTTGTTTAACGGTGCTTTGGAATAGTCTTGTCATGTAGCCATGGCTGGCCTGGTGCTCCCCTTGTAGCCAAAATAGATCTTGTTTCTGCCTCCTAAAGCTTGGATATAGATGTGTACCACCATGCCTGGCTTGGTCTCTTTTCAGCCTAACACTGCCCCCAGCAGTGCTTCTTCATTCATAACCATCTAAGCAGAAAGATTGCTAAAAGTCAATGGTTGCACACAGATTGAGAGAAACCAGTGCATCTGTACATACTGGTGGCGTCCATGGTGCAGTTGCTGGTGCTGATACCCGTGCTGGTGCTGATACCCGTGCTGGTACTGATAGTGGTGATGGTGGAAATGGAAAGTACCTTTTGTTTTTTGGACAGGGTCTCATGTATCCCAGGCTGCCCTAGAACTCATTATACAACCAAAGAGGCCCTTAAACTTGTCTTTCTTTGCCTCTCACGCGCTGGGACTGCAAGCATGTTCCACCATACCTGGCATACGCTATGCTGGGATTGAACCATGCCTGCCATGTGTGCTAGGCAAGCGCTCTAACAAAGCTACATTCCCCAGCCTCAGAAGCCACCTTCCAAAAAGCAATGTACCCTCGGGGAAGAGCTCCTTTTGTCAAATGTAAGTAAATAATTCATAAGCTGCAAGTGACCGTGTGCAAAAAGTAATTATGGTGTTGCTCAGAATAGCAAAAATTCATAAATTATAACCTTGGCATTGAATACTAAAGGGGATTTTAGTAAATTACAGTATAGTAACAGGGAAGTTTCATACAGACACTCGAAATAATTATTACACTAATGAGCTGATAGAGGGAAGTTCTCTTTCAAGAAATATTCTAACTAATTAATGCTGACAGCATAAGATTGTCATAATAAGCATCAGTGAGTGGTGACAGTATGGAATAAAGACAGACCAAAATTCAACACTGAGTCTGCTCAGGCATTCAGGGTAAATGTAAGATTTCCAGGAAATACAAGAGACAGAGGAGAGTACTAAATGCTATAATCATCAAACTCTGAAATAGAGGACACTCCTAGGATAATATATGGTTTCCTTGACAACTATGTAGCAGTTAGGGAAAATAAGGAAGGGATTTTTGTTTTTTTTTTTTTTTTTTTTTTTTTGAGACAGGGTTTCTCTGTGTAACAGCTCTGGATGTCCTGGAACTCCTCGCTCTGGGTCCTCCTCATGTTGCCTGTGTGTACATGGGCGTAGGGCCATCGACTGATTCTCAGGTACCCTCTTGGGCCCGCATCCTGAGAAAACTGACTCTCTCCAGCTCACTCTCCCTTTTCCAGCAGCCATCAACTGCCCATAGCCCCTCCACTCAGGGTAGGTTTGTGACCTCCTCTGCCATCCATGTTAGATCTTTCTCAGGCTGTGTGCATGTAGCCATAGCTGCTGTGAGTTCATGTGTCACATCCTGTCATGTCCAGGAACCTGTTTTGATGTAGTAGTCATCCACTACCTCTGGTTCTTAATATTTCTGCCTTCTCTTCTAAGATGATACTTAAACCTTGGGAGGATGGGATGTGATCTAGATGTCCTGACTAGGGCTGATTACTCGGCAGTCTTTTGTCCTGTCTGTGTTAACCAATTGTGGGTACCTGGGCTAAGTGGGTGAGGGGTCTTATTCTTTAAGGCATCATTATGTGCCATATATCATATATTCATTCAGTCACTTGACTATCCCCAGCCCTATCCAGGTTGCTGCTGGAAACATAGTTTCATCTTTTTTTTTTTTCTTCTTTTTTTGAGACAGTGTTGCTTTGTGTGTAGCTCTGGCTCTGTGGCCTTGGTAGGTGGCCTCAAACTCAGAGATTTGCCTGTCTCTGCCGCCCAAATGCAGGGTGCTGGGATTAAAGGTGTGCACCACCACCACCCAGCCTGGTTTCATCTTTAAAGAGCATATAGTTAGCTGGGTTGACAGCACATACCTTTAATCCTAGCACTTGGGAAGTAGGAGCAAAAAGGGTTACATGAATCTCAGGCCAGACTGAGAATGTGAATGCCAGGACAGTCCTAGTCTATACAGCAAGAAAAAAACTAGAAGTAGAAGGAAATTGGCATCCAGAATGGGGAGAGAGTTCCATGGGGGAGTGCTAAGTTGCTGGGAGGCCCCTGTCTAAGGGGACATCCCTTGTATTCTGAACCTCAGACTCCTGGAAAACATCTGGTCTGTTGGTTAGTGTCTCTAATATTAGCTCCTAGTGAAATGGGCAAAGGTGTATCTAACACAAGGACACTCACATCTTGCTATTTAAAGGCAATGGGACTTCCTAGGGTGGGGGACTTTCTGTGCCTCTGATACTCTACACCCTCAGCCATTGACAGCATGTGTCTGGCTAAGGCCCATTCCAGAAGACTCTGGATCATATGACCCAGGTCTAGGTTCAGGAAGCAGCTTCTAATGTTCTGACCTGCTTGTCCACAGTGATCGGCTGGCCCTCCTGCAGGTCAGGAGGATCCTGCAGCAGCTAGGCCTGGACAGCACGTGTGAAGACAGTATTGTGGTGAAAGAGGTGTGTGGCGCCGTGTCACGGAGGGCCGCCCAGCTCTGTGGCGCAGGCATGGCTGCAATCGTGGAGAAAAGGAGACAAGACCAGGGGCTCAAGCACTTCAAGGTCACGGTGGGCGTGGATGGAACGCTGTACAAGCTGCACCCTCAGTGAGTGCCTGTGATGGGCATGGGGACTGGGAAAGAGGGTAGGCATGCTGATGGCCAGGGCTGGACCCACACAAACTCTTCATCTTCATGGTGGGAAGATGTGGCCCCATGGTGGTGGTAACTGAGCATGGTAGAGTCCACTGCTGTTGAGGCTGAAGCAAGGGCTGGTGCTTCTGCTTCCTGGTTGTCCACATGAGGCTAGAAGTCAGTCTCTAAAGCCCAGACAGGGTCCTTATCTGTGCCAGGTCAATAGCAGTGACCTCTGCCCCTTGGGATATCATAGAGATTAAATGGGCACCACCAGCACTAAGGAGGCACACATTGTGATTACAGTACATAGGGCCAGGCAGAGAGCTTGGCCAGAGCGCCAGCCAGCTTCGAACTGACCGTAATTTCTCAGTTCAGTCAGTGGACTGAAAAATGTAGAGCCCAGTCACACATGGAGTGTGTGGCATAGGACTAGTTTTGTGTCTGCTTTGGCTCTTCTGTAGAATGAGGGCAAAAAAAAATTCATAGTCACCCCATAGGCTGTCAAGAGGCTAAAGTTTAATTGTTTCACTTATAAAAAGCTATTACTTTTTTGTTTGTTTTTGTTTTTCTGAGACAGGGTTTCTCTATGCAGCCCTGGCTATCCTGGAACCCTCTCTGGCCTCAAACTCAGTAATCCACCTGCCTCTTCCTCCCAAGTGCTGGGATTAAAGGCGTGTGCCACCACTGTCTGGCAAAAGCTATTATTGTTGTTTAATGTTTCCCATTTTATTTTGGTGACAAGGGGATATCTGAATAAGATTATAAAATTCCTGTGGTGCTGATCACAGGCTCACAGCTTCTCTCTTTGTCCCTTGGTGACACGCAATCTGGAGTTTGGTTTCTACAAATGCAGACTTTAAAGTATTCTTACATTTATTTTGTACGTATGTGTGTATATAAGTGTGTGCATACATGGATGCACAGGAGTCATTTCCCTCTCAGCACCACATGGGGCCCAGGAATCGAGCTCCGGTCATCAGACCTGCTTGGTGGCAAGCACCTCCGAGCCATCTCACCAGTTCCAAATCTCTTGCTTGAACTAAGACTTGACCAAAGGCAAAAGGAAAGCCTACAATCCTTTTAAAAGGTACTGATGCCAGACGGTGGAGGTGCACACCAGGCTCTCTAAGTTCAAGGCCAGCCTGGTCTACAGAGTGAGTTCCAGGACAGCCAGGGCTACACAGAAAAACCCTGTCTTGAAAACAACAAACAACAACAACAAAAAGGTGCTGACAGTTTGATGGAGTCCCCCGTCCCCTTTATGATAAGGCCCTCAGAACTAGGAATAAGAGTTCCTTAGCCTTGGGGCTGGAGAGATGACTCAGTGGTTAAGAGCACCGACTGCTCTTCCAGGGGTCCTGAGTTCAATTTCCAGCAACTACATGGTGGCCCACAACCATCCGTTATAAGATCTGGTGCCCTCTTCTGGTGTGCAGATGTACATGGAAGCAGAATGTTGTATACATAATAAAAATAAAATCTTAAAAAAAAAAAAAAGAGTTCCTTAGCCTGCTGAAGAGCACCTGAAAAAAATCCTCCAGCTGATCCTGCACTTGACTGATGAGAGTGGGCTTTTCAGAGAGGAAAACGTGGTCACAGTTTTCTATCTGCCAACCCCACTGCAAGGGCTGATGTGTCTTCCTCTTTGTCCCAGCTTCTCCCGGATTCTGCAGGAGACGGTGAAAGACCTGGCCCCTCAGTGTGACGTGACATTCATGCTGTCAGAAGACGGCAGTGGAAAGGGAGCAGCTCTGATCACAGCTGTAGCCAAGAGGTTACAGCAGCAGGGGAAGGAAAACTAGGTGGCCCACCAGGTCTGTGATGCCCCGTGCCGACCAAGGACCACCCGATGACCTCCAGACTGACCTTCCCTTCTCCAGGGCCAAAAGAAAACCAGAGTTCTCAGTATCCTTAGCATCCTGGTACTGGCTTTGCAGCGACACTCGGCGACCTCCCTTTGGCATATTTTGACCAAAGATGGGTTGGCTTTTGAAATCAAAGGATCTGGCCCAAGAGATCCCATTTTGGTAAATTTTTCAGTTGAGCTGCCAGTGTTCAATAGCTTCAAGTCCCTGGCTGCTGGACTCAGAATCTTCCCAGGTGGCTGGTGGCTTAGTTCCTTTCTGACATCAAGCTGCCTCTGGCGGGAGATGGGACCCGAGACCTACAGATGAACCCTTGAGAGGGAGAAAGACACTTAGTGAACTAGGGGATCTAGCTTAACGTGGCCTCACTTGTCATGTTTGCTTCATAGGCGCCGGGAGAACAGGGCTTTGGCACATTCATCTTCAGATGAATGCAGAGGGGCCTGTTGCCCTGGAGCCAGGAGGAATCTTAACCAGATTCAGGTGCTCTGTGAGCACTCTGGGGTGTCATTCTCCAGAGGTGTGTTGAGGGGGTGGGACGCAACTCAAGGTACTGTCTTCCATTCCCCGTCATGCAGTAGGTAGCAGTCACTGCTGTCCATATTTATTTCAAGGACCGTTAGGTCTATGAAATGCAGTCCAAGAATAAAAGAAACTTGGGTTTCCAGGATTCTTGGCGTGAGGTGTTGATCTTTCTTCTGAGAATCTCATTGCTATCTCCATGTCCTATCAGAATAAGGGACCTGTAGAGTCAGAAGGCGCTTTAGAGCCAACTCTTTAGCCCAGACTTTCTGCTAAGAGAAGGAACATGTGAAACTGATTATCCAAATTTCACTTGGTTGAAGTGAAATACTTCCAGCGACTGAGCAGTGACCATGTGACCCTATAGTGCTTGCTCGTGAACTGGAGTCAGCTGGAAGGTGTGTGTGTGTGTGTATGTGTGTGTGTCTGTATGTGTCTGTGTGTGTGTGCGTGCACATGTGTGCAAGTCTGTGTGGGTGTGTGTACATGTGTATAGAGGCCAGAGGACAGCCTCAGTGTCATCCTCAGAAATGCCATCCATTTCCTTTGAGACAGGTTCCTTTAGTGGGATATGGGGCTCACTGTTTATGCTAGTTGGCTTCCAGCAAGTCCTAGTCATCCTCCTGTCTCTACCTCCCAACATTAGAATTACAGGCACACTGCTGCACCAGGTATCCTTCTCTGTGAATGGAGCTCAGGTCCTGATGTTTGGAGGCAAGCATTTTCCTGTCTCTGCAGGCCCTGGATCCCACAAGCGCTTCCCTATCTCAGCTGCCCCTGAAATCCCATTCTCCTATTCTGCTGATCTCTTTCTCTCTGAAGCAGGGTCCTACTGTCTGCTCTCTCTCTCCTAACCCTATCATGCAGATCTGTCTGGAGTCGATGACATGTCCCTGACCTTTTCTCTTCACTCCCAGCTCTTTTTGAAACTGCCTGCACGTCTATCTTGTCAAGTGACCGTGAACTGCTTATCTGCTCTAGTAGATTGCAAGCTGGTTGCCAGACATCTTTTTTAAAATTGTAATGATTTTACAATTTTGATTAAATACTTACTGGGGAGGGATATGCTTTTTAAGGTAAAGCTTTCTGAGCCGTTTTCCTTGGGGGTTGGGTGGGGAATAACAGGTCATTATCGCCGGAAACAACGTGAGAAGATGGCACACTCCCAGTTGATTTGATGTATTTGATACATTGTTTCAACTCCATCCAGAGAGAATGGCCCCCAGTACTAGGAGAGGTCATGTGCTGAAGCCGCTTATGTCTGCATACAGAGCAGTGAGAAAGAGGCCACCTGGGGCTAGGACCAGATGAGGGAGCTGAGGGGGCCTCTGGAATGTTTTCTGCAGCACTCAGCAAACAGGTATGATGTTAGTCCCATGAACTGGTCCTAGATGGTACCGTTAACTTTTGCTGTGTTTTAAGGCTGTGTCTCTCTGGGAAAGTGCTATAGGATTTGTTAAATTTATGTTTGGATTTGGATATGTCTCTTTGAGGAAATCTCTTCTTCTTCCCCCAGTTTCCCTTCTTTCATAAAAAAAGACTTATTTTTATTGCATGTGTGAATGTTTTACATACATGTATGTTTCTGTACCGTGTGTGTGTGTGTGTGTGTGTGTGTGTGTGTGTGTGTGTGTGTGTGTGTGTGTGTGTGTGTATGTGTCTGTGTGTGTGTATGTGTCTGTGTGTGTGTCTGTGTGTGTGTGTGTCTGTGTGTGT